GGGCCCAACTTTTTGTAACATTTCGGATTATATCGAACCCATATATCAATTTAATCAAAAAAGATACCAAAAGTCGGTGCTCGGGGGCACTCTCTAAAATCCGACATTATTTTCATAAAACACGTCACCGAAAACCTAATAGTCACACAATATATCAATTAAATCAGAAAAGTTACAAAAAGTCGGTACCCGGGGGCACTATCTAAAATCCGACATTATTTTTATAAAAAGCTCCCCGAAAACCTAATAGTCGACGCATATATTGATTTAATCCAAAAAGTTTTAAAAAAGTCGAGGACCGGGAGGCCCAATCTCAAATTCGATACCATTTTCATAAAAATCGCCCCTCAAAATATAACAGTCGGCCCTGGTATCGATTTGATCCAAAAAGTTAAAAAAAGGCGAGGTCTGGGGGTTCCAATCACAAATTCGATATCATTTTCATAAAAAGCGCCCTCCAAAATCTGATAGTCAACCCATATATCGATAAGACCAGAAAAGTTACTATAAGTCGGTGCCCGAGGGGGAGGGAGGGGTCACACCTAATATCCGACATTATTTCCATAAAAAGCGCCCCCCAAAACCTAATAGTCGACCCATATATCGATAAAATCAGAAAAGTTACGATAAGTCGGTGCCCGGGGGGGGGGGGGAGAAGGGGTCACACCTAAAATCTAACATTATTTTCATAAAAAACGCCCCCAAAACGTCATAGTCGACTCTAAGACCAATGAAATCCGAAGAATTAGCTATTAGCTTTTAGTTGAAGATACAGATAAAGATAATTAGCGGTTAGCGGTAAGAACAGCTAAAAGTTAACTTGCGCTAAAAGTTAGCGCCTTGGTCCCGCTAATAGCTAATTTAGTTGCAGAATTATCTGCCCGCTAATAGCTAATTTAGCTGTTATCTGTTATCTGTTAGCTATAGATAATTTTTGCCCAACACTGTCCTGAGCACACTCATATGAAATATGAGGAATGCGATCGTTTGTTTTATTTCAAACTCATTGAACTAGGTCTGGAAAATTTAACAGTAGAATCAAACGAGGCATGAAGATGGATGATTTTATCGTCAGAAATATGTGACGTGATAAATATAACATTTCAGGATTCTTCTATGCATACGAAGTATATTGTTCATTGGCATCTCAGATTTAAAACCAGTTCGGATCTTGCTGGCTTTTTCTTGGTGAAAAAATTGGAATGTTTCGAAGGCGTTGATGACGGTCTTATAAAAAAAAAAAACCTTTTGCGAGACTGTGTATGGTTAAAAAAGAGAATGCTTAATAGAACATACTTTAGTATTATTTTGATAAAATAATACTGAGAGGTATCCTATCTAAAAGTACTGAAGCCTGGGAAAGAATCTTGGATATAGATAGCCTCTATCTCTTTGAGAGGAGTCACACGTTACAATATTTTTTTAATTTTACAATTAATTGAAAACGAACGAAACTGAAGATTTAGGTATTTACAAGTTCAATCATATTTTAAGTCAAATTGAGAACAACTGGAGTAAGAATTAACTGGATCCATTGTTCTAGAAAGCACAACGGACTTTGGATATCTTTAGTTCAAAGAACAATCGTTGTTATTTTCAGAATATTTTAATTTATCAGAAATAATTTTAGAAAAGAAAAATATAGAATCTGGATAACTGGAGACTCCTTGACCCACGGGACCAGAAGCTTTTTTAATTATCCTATTTACTACATGTTCAGTATAATAAGCTAATAAAAAGAATTTCCCATGGTCTTGCATCCCTCAGGATATTTAGCTTTAGGAGCTCCAACGCCCGAGTTTTTGCTGCTCCCCTTTATACCATCAAGACAATTTTCCTCCAGAACATCAATGAACTCTATAATATGAGATTAAATATGAGAAGGAATTGGTCGGGGAGGGAGAGGGGGAGGAGTGCGGTCAAATGAATATTATATATTGAAATAGTATTTTATTGTTTACGTCTAATATTTATATTTTAATATGTAATATTTATTTTACCGCACTTCCCAGACCAACTCCTGCTCATATTATAATCACGGTCAATCATCTCTACACCATAAGATTAAATAAAGACTTATGGTTAATTATTGTTATTTTAACAACTTTTTTGTAAGTGCTCCGTCTGCTGTTTCAAACAGCAGGATGGGCGATAGTCTATATTGATCACCATCATCGCTAAACTGTTTACAGGTGGATTTATTTCCACTGAATTCTTCAGATACTGGAGTGCTTCTGGTATTGCAGGGATGCCCAAAAGGAGGTTTCATGGCACAAGTTGCGCCGTCAAAATTTTTGAGAGGGATATATTTTGACGGATTTTGAATTTTTGAGGGAAGCATATTTCGACGGAGTTATGCATTTTCGGACAAAGGGACAAGGGGAAAACATGGAACACACCGCATCAAGTCTAATAGTATATTATCTACGATCTTTCTAATTTTGCCTTAGCTTGCTTTGTTTTTAAAAAAAGGTGACTAATAAAATATCTTGGGAGGAGTTGAGGGAGGTAGGTTCTTGCGCTATCGAACTTGGAGGAGATGGGCACCCCTAGTAGAGCGTAAGTCGTAACATCAAAATTTTGGTGAGACACATTTTCACCAAATTTTTTAGTGTTAGCACGTTATATAACAGATATAATATTCAATTTTTGTGGAGACCTTTTCTCTCTTTTTTTTATTTGTTATAACGGTAATTACTCTATAGAAAAAGAAAGAAACTATATACAATGCTGGTTAAGTGGTTCCTGAAGACTTGTTTAAAACAATAAAAACGGAGAAGGCAATTACAGGAACAATAATGGTTTAAAGAATAATTTTTAAAACATTTTTCCTTGTGACGTACTCACTAGCGGATCCAGGATTGAATTTTGGGGGGCTTCAGCCAGAAAGCTTTTTTTTCATAAAAATGACGGTAATTACTTTAGGAAAAAAAGAAAGAAACTAACTATCTATATGAAATGGTGTTTAAGTGATTCATTAAGTCCTTTTAAATGTAATTACACGAATTCGTACTTATTTTATCAATTTATCTTCATTATCTATCTGGCTCCCGGGCAACACAGTGTTGTGCAGGAGAGAATTTCATGAAGGAAGTTGTACCATTAATATTTTTGAGAAGGGCACATTTTGAGGTGATTTTAAATTTTCGAGGAGAACAAATGTGTCAGAAAAAAATCGAAATGTCGACAGAATTACGAATTTTCGGAGAGGAAAGTTTCAAACCAGGGGAAAAATATGTACAGAAGGGGGTTTCATGGCGTAAGTTGTCCCATCAAAATTTTTGAGGAGAGCACTTTTTAACAGAGTTATAAATTTTCGGAATAAAAAGTTTTAAACCAGGGAACAAGAAGGAAAGATGGAGCAGACCACTAAAAGTGGAATTGTGTATGAACTATGATTTTCAAATCCTACTTTAGCTGTACACACACACACACACACACACGCACACACACACGCACGCACACACGCACGCACTCATACACACACACCAGGAGAGAACAGAGCTCCCCCGCAACTACTTCACCAGTAAATGATGAATTGTTGGAGCAAATATTCAATTATTTATAAATTATTCGTTGTTTAGTACAGAGCATTTATAAAAATCATTTATTTGATACAATTCACTTTTCAACTGAAATGATAATAATAAAAGTGCCGGTCGTTTAGTTACTTTTTTAATATACTTTTTTTCTCACGTTTGGGAGAGAGCGCCCCTCTCCTGGAACCACTGGTGCGTGTGATCAGTACCCGATTTTAAATTAGGATATTCATGGCATGAGTTTTTGCTGATTCTCTTCCTACCACTTTCACCACTAGCGGACCCAGGATTTGATTTTGGGGGGAGAGTTTCAGCCCAATAGCTTTTTTTTTCATAAAAATTACGATAATTACTTTGTAAGAACAGAAAGAAACTAACTATCTATATGAAATGGTGTTTAAATGATTCCTCAAGTCCTTTTGAATGTAATTGCACGAACAATAATACTTTAAGAGATAATTTTTTAATATATTTTTCCATAAAACATGGTTATATTTTACCAATTTGGGGGGGGGCTTCAGCCCGAAAGCCCTCCCCGCCCCCCGTAGATCCGCCCGTGACCTTCACAATATTTATCAATAAGATAATCTAATAATTATGGAAATCAATAAACTGTATCAAAGAAGATTAAATGAAAACTTTATTTATCTCATTTTTACACTTTTATCATTGTTATTTAGAAGCCTTTTTTAACTAGCTCTCTCATCGTTACGTATGTACCCTTAGACTCGTGGTAAATGAGGCCTCCTGTTTTCCTATTTATCCTGTTTTAACTTAGCTAGTAATCATAATTTGACTTCTGACTTTTAACTATTACAACTAATTATAGTAGTATATTAAATATATTGAATTAATCTAATTAAAAATGTTAAATCGCTTTTTTTTCTAGAGTATTATTTTAATTTCGAAAATATAAAAACATGAAATTAACATTAAGAGTTATAGTTGGAGAATTTTGGAGAAAATTTAGTTAAGTTTGGAGGGGAAATGCAGGACTGTCTTGGCAAAGCTGCTTACTGGCAGCAGTACAGTAAATCGCTTATTGTTGAAGTAAAGATTAGGAAATGATCATTAATAAGAATAATTGGTGGCGAGCTTGGATATTTGGCGACCCCGAGGAATGACATCATTTCTCCCCAAAATATTTTATTTATTTTCTAAGCTGTTTAATATTAAGTAATACCTGAAATGTATTTCATTCGCTGTCTCTATTCCAATTCCTGTATTAATAGGCTAAAATTAAATGATCTTAGTTCGTTTTTCTTTTTTTTTATTCTTAACTAACTAGTGGCAGGCACCTCTTTCTCAGTTAGCACCCATAGGCAATAGTCTTGGTTGCCCATCCCCAAGCCCTGCACTGTTTACAAGCGCTGTTCCTATGATTATTCATTAGCATTAGGCCATTTCAATTGCTTATGAATATTTTTTTATTTAATATTTTATTTATTTTTTATTTTCAGCATGGCTGGTGAGGTTTTTACTAACACTGGGATGAAAGCAGGGATTTCATCCGTTTTATGGAAACGGCATAAATTAACTAAGGGGTTGATTAAGTATAAAGATGATGAAATCACTCGAGAAGAAAGTGAAGAATTTTTGAATTGGACAGCCCAGATGTTCACACAAACGTTAGAACAAGCCCCTTATGTATGTTTAATAAGAGTTCACTTTCAGTTTATGGACAGGGTGGACAAACCCTGTATTTTGTTTTAAAGCATAATTATTGATTTTTGGTCATCGGTAATGTATTGTGTAAGTTTTTACTGAAGCTAATTAAAGATATGAATAAAATAGACAAAAGTGACAGTAATTTTTCAATGAATTTTCATTACCTTCACCAAAATTTTAATTTACTAGATAGACCACCTAAGTGGTGTAGAAGTACCATCTGCTGACTTGTAACTCGGAATACCTATGAATTGTTTGGATATAGAAGAGGGTTCACTCAACCTGGAAGATATTTAGGTAGCTAATTGAGTAAATAAGTAGTGTACCCGCTTTGATAAAAATTCCAAATTTTGCTCCAACCCCTGTTTAGGTTTATATATAGGTCTTATACACTTTATCACAACAAAATTATAAATATTACAAATTAATTTAATAAGTATTATTTTTATTGTTACTTTCTTTAAGAAACTAAAACTGTGCTTTTTTTTTTTTGCTTTTTTTAGCGATGGGATACTTTTTCTATTGAACAAACAACGGAAATTTGCACCTTTTTCCCTGATCATCTCATTAATTTGATTTGCAATAACAAACCTTACACTTCTTTTGCAGGATATGTAATATTTGCTGATGTCTCAGGTAAGAGATGATTTCCAAAAAGAACTGTTGGTTTTCAAAGAATTTTTTAAATATAAAATATATATATATATATATATATTATCACTGAATTATATGGTAAATAAAATTCTAGAATCTCTTATGTTTATTAGCGCCTATTTACCTATTGACTATAGATATATAAATATGCTCATCACGGACATGGAATCTGTGACACTAATTATAAGCGTGATGTAATGTATCTTAAGGATAAGACTCTCCACTCAACTAGCCACTGTTTAACAGTTAATTTTTTTACTTGATCACAATCTGTCTGAAGTAGGTTGTTGTTGTTTTTTTATATATCCTCAAAGAGCCATTATAAACATAAAAATCAGTTTGAGGAAACTTCAAAACTGGAAGAAGCCATATATTGTATGAAGTTTTTTTTTTTATTAATGCTGTGGATATTATTGACTCTAGATCTAATTTAAGGAGTTTATACATTATATTTCTATTTAAGAGCTCTATTATACTGTAAATAACACAATGTCCATTTTTGCGTTTGTTCAGTGGAGCCAATTTTCCATAGCTTTGAGACATTAAAATTTGTTTCTTAGTTACTAAATTATTTAACAAAAAATTGGACATGGCATCCTTTACCTCCAAGGCACAGATATGAACTAATAGGTTGGAAAATTATTTTGTATATGAATAAGTATAACGTCAAATTGTAACAATGGTCCAGTATAGGACTTCAGTGGAAATCTTGGCCAACGAAATGAATAAAAGTACCAATGGTAATTATTTAGTTAAAAAGGCATTTTTTTGAATTTATGGAGGATTCTGATATCAATTAATTTGTAAGATTCTAATGGTATGAATTCTCTTTATATCATTATATATTCAACATTTTATATTTTATATATATATATATATATACATATTCAACTTTAATTAAAAGAAAAATTACATAAACATTTTTGAATAGTATGACAACTTTACGTATTTCTTTGTTATGCCTAAGGTAAACATATAGGTCAGTGTTGTATCTCGAACATTTTGGGGCTAGGAAGAATTTGTTTTTGAGGTCCCCTTTAAAAAAAAAAACTCCTATTATGTTGGGTCTAGGTTGAGTTTATTTTTGAGGACCCTTTAAAAAAAAAAAAAAAAAAAAATAAATTAGTAGATAAAAAACTTTTATTTCAAATTAAAAAGTTATTTCATAATTTTTATGTTTTATAATGTTCAGTTAAATAAAAAATACTTAGGCTACTGAATATAAATATAATATGAGGCATTCCTGAAAACAAATCAAGCCAATAACAAGTATATATTCTGCCATTTTCTTACTTAGGCTCGTTAATAAATTATTTTTTGGCAGAAGTGTATTAGTGTGATTAATTTAATAATTGTCTATTGTCTATTGTCTACTCTGTGATCTTCTCAAAGCCCACTTTTTTAATCCCTTAACAAATTTCCTTTTATGTAACCAAGGGCTGATTTACTTTTAATCCTATGCTTATTACATATTTAATATATATTTTAATAGTTCCATAGATAGACCTAAGGTTCATTCTCATCCAGACCAAAGACACCTTCCTTTCTTTCTAAGAATTTTGCTTCTATATTCCTAAACTTTTTACCAATTGTAGATCTATCACAAATTTTCTACAAATGTATGTGTAGAACACTTCTTTTACATTCATAAGCATAAACAAGACAAAATTAGTTTAGTAGTTATTGGAACTTACATGGGGAGGCTACAGTCAGTGAGTCACCAAAACCAATTTTTTTTTTGTGCTACTTCATTGAAAAATATTGGACACATGTCCTGTTGTTTGTTCCAATGGATCCTAGAAGCCGATAAAAATAATATGTTATATAATTTCAAATTAAATTATGTTATTTATTTTTGCCTTTGCTTTGCCCTGATTTTTAAGTTATTAAATATCAATAGATTTTATTTTTAGAGTAGAATAAGAAACAAATATTGATTATGGTATTAAATGAGTTATGGTGTATCATAAATTACAAAAACTAAAAGACGCTTTCAGTAAAGTACACCAAGTAAATTTTTGTAATGAAAAAGAAACTTCGATTCATTTACTTTGAAACTCTTGAATACTAATTTTCATAGAAATCATAAATTGCAAAATACTTAATTTTCTTAGAATTCAATGTGAGTACTACCACTGGAAAGATGAATTACTGCTCTTCCAATCCACATCGATAATTGTTATTTTTCATTTCTTTTTAACCTAGAAATTAAGAAAAACATCTCAATAATTTTTATTTTATATTTTTGGTTCTAATTTGTTTATGAACGTCGGTTTTGTTCCATTTCATGTAGCATATAGAGCCCTAAACCTCTTATAATTTTTGTGTGGATCAGTAGAGTCATTCTAAAGTTATCACAATTTTTGTGGTTGTCTATAAAATTTCATTGCTATAAAAATAAATATCAAGTGTTTTTAGAGTTGTGAAAAATGAATATTAACTTTTTTTCTCTCTAACAAATATTTACTCTAGATACCAGGAGCTGTTTTGAATAAATATTATATTTGGCAGATAGTTACCTTAGCTTTGACCAGTTACCTTTGGACAAACCGATGAAGCAATGTCAGAGTAAATATTTTTTTAGGGAGAGACAAAGTTGATATTCATTTTTCACATCTAAAAAAGAAAACCACCAAATTTTAGGGATTTAGAGCTCTATATGCTACATGAAATGGTACAAAACTGACCTCTGTAAAAAAAAATTATAATCTAAGATATAAAATAAAAATGTTTGTGAATTTTTTTAAATTTCTACTTTGAAAAGGAATGAAATCTAAAAGTTATCTATGTGGGTTGGAAGAGCAGTAATTCAGCTTTCCAAGGATTGTACTATTGTTAAATTTGGAGGAAATCCTGGGAAGTTATGAATGCTTTACTGATCGGACAGAAAAAAATAATCCTCTAAGAAAATTATTTTGCAATTTTTGATTTCTATAAAAAATTTTATTTAAGTTTCAAAGCACACTAGAAACGATTTTAACTTGCTTTTTCATAACAAAAATTTACCCTGTTTAATGAGGGAGGGAGGGGATGCTTTTTTTTATTTTTGTAATTTATGATACATTATAATTCATTTAATATAATAATTGGTAAATGGTTGACTGTCGTGAATAATGAAGGGAAGAATAGTTGGGGTGATCAGTCAAATAAGAAGACAAAAATAAATGATACTATTTATTTTGACATTAGCCGACGTTTCGACCTGAAGTTCAGGCCATCATCAGGGCTAAGAAAAGAACCAGATAACAAGGTATGAGAAACATAAGTAGTGTAAAAAAAAAAATTAAATTAAAGTAAAATTCAGTTGTTAGAATAATGACAATAGTAAGAACAAAGAGATAAATGATAATAAGCGTCACAAAGTGTGGAATGATGAAGTAAACATAATCAAAAAAGGTGACATAAGCATTAAAATGGGAATCTTAGAATAAAATGTAAAAACAGAAAAATATGAAGTTATATAAGAAATGGAAATAAACACTAAAATTAAGATATTGTGAATAGAAAATTGAGATGTTGTAAAGTCTATCAAGATGTATAGACAATGTATAATATAATAAAGAGTTAAAACAGAGCAGAGGGATGAAAGGAAGGAGGAAAGAAACTGAGAAGTCTGAAATAAGAAAGAGAATAAGAAAGAAAAAGAAAAACACACCTGACTGCAAAGATGTAAATCGAAGCAATGAGCGTGTTAGTCAAGGAGGGGATGGAGAGAAGGGATGTATAGTGGCGTCATCTCCAACAGTTATCTGACGAAGTTTGAACTAAAGTACCAGAAGCATAAATAAGGACGAGAGATATATTACTCATAAATAATCCTCTTTCTATCAACTTTCATTTAATTATCCATAATATTTATATTATATATTTATATATATCCATAATACCTTGTTATCTGGTTCTTTTCTTAGCCCTGATGATGGCCTGAACTTCACGTCGAAACGTCGGCTAATGTAAAAATAAATAGTATCATTTATTTTTTCCTTCTTATTTGACTGATCACCCCAACTATTCTTCTCTTCATTTAATATAATAGTCAATATTTGTTTTCTTACTATGTACAAAAAAAAAAGAAGAAATAGATTGATATATAATCACCTAAAAATCCGGACAACAGAGAGAATCACTTTATTATCATAAAATGGTGCTGCCCAATTACATTGGGTTGCTAAAAACACAGCATACTTATTAATCACTACAGACAATTTTTAAAATAATATATAATTATATAGGATTAACAATATTTATGAGCATAGTATACAATATATATATATATATATATATATACATACATACATGTATTATTATTTTGAAAACGAAATGAAAATAATTTTATTATTCTGGGACTAGTGTCCCTTTAGAACAAATCACAAATACAGATTATATATCAATATTTTGGTGTGTCTATGAAATACTATTTAATATTTACAGGTTGATTCAGAGTACAATAAAGTTATAAATGATGAAAAGATATAAATACATGTAAATATAAAATATACAAAGAAATTAATTAAGTGAACAAAATATCGTTGAATTACAAGATGATCAGAGTATCTGGGTGTACTTTGAGGTTTTTAAGTGCATTTCGTGATCAATCGGATTGGGAATGGAGTAGGTGTTGGAAGAGGAGAGATTTGAATGAGGATATTGTTTTTGCATGTCGAATATCTGAAGGTATAGAGTTCCAGAGGGAGACAACTTGTATTAAAAAGGATTTATCAAGGGAGGGGGAGGATAGAGGTCGGACGCACGGGATCTGGTGGGACGGGATTGAAAGGAGCGTTTGAATTGTAGGATCTGTAGAATATAGGCAGGTCGCCGTGTTGTAATGGCTCGGTATAGGAAGGTAGCCAGAAAATATTATAAAGTAGGACGGATAGTTCCACTTCAACTTGGTTTAGAACTGGGTAATTTACGTATCCCTTGAGATCCAGAAGATAAAGCGGACTGAGCAATTCATTTAACGTTTAAGTTTGGCTTCCCTTCAGATCCGGAAGATAAAGCGGATTGAACAATTCATTTAACGTTTAAGTTTGGCTTCGAGTTCTCCCGAGAGTCCACCATACACCATGCGGCCATACTCGAAGTGGGAGAAAACAAGAGAGGAGACCAGGAGTTGATGGGTTTTGAACGGAAGAAGATAACGTAGATAGTTAATCTGTTTCAGGGTGGATATAGTATGGTGGGAGATTTGGGAGATGTGTGGTTTCCAGGAGAGGCTTTGATTGAAGGTAACGCCTAGGTTTTTAACAGTGGTATGGAAGGAGATAGGTGAGTTGTCCAGAAGAAGATTAGGAGGTGTTGAAATGGATTTAAGGATTGAGGGGGATCTGATCAGGATGGCTTTTGTCTTCTCCGTATTCAATGTCAGCTTATTAAGATTTGCCCATGCGCATATTCTATTGATGTCTTGTTGCAGTTTCAGGATGGCATTAGAGAAATCTGTCAGGTTGAAGGAAAGATAAATTTGGACGTCATCGGTGTATAGGTGATATTGACAGTGCATGATAGAGGAAGGGAGGTCATTAACGTAGATGGAAAAGAGGGAGTACACCATTTTCCATTGTTATTTTATTTATTTTTTTTTGTGTATATCCTTTTTCTTTTCTTTTTTTAACGTTTATTTTCTCTTTCTCTCACTTCTCTCTCTTTATCTATCTTTTTTTTCCATTTTCCATTAAATAAATATATAAATTAAAACTCGTGCATGGCTAGGCTGGGAGTTTTAATTTATGTATTTATTTAATGGAAAATGGAAAAAAAAGATAGATAAAAAGAGAGAAGTGAGAGAAAGAGAAAATAAACGTTAAAAAAAGAAAAGAAAAAGGATATACACAAAAAAAAAAAATAAAATAACAATGGAAAATGGTGTACTCCCTCTTTTCCATCTACGTTAATGACCTCCCTTCCTCTATCATGCACTGTCAATATCACCTATACACCGATGACGTCCAAATTTATCTTTCCTTCAACCCGACAGATTTCTCTAATGCCATCCTGAAACTGCAACAAGACATCAATAGAATATGCGCATGGGCAAATCTTAATAAGCTGACATTGAATACGGAGAAGACAAAAGCCATCCTGATAGGATGATTCCCTGGGAGTCGAGGACAATATTTTCAGCCAACCTCGCTAGGTCCTTAATGTTGACACCTAGTTCCTCAAGGAAGTCCCTTGTTCTTTTTGGAATTGTTCTGCGTGACCCAAACCAGATGCCTCTCACGGTTAACTCTCTCTCTCCGAAGGTCTCACCGAATTTCTCTTTTAGGAAAGGGATACATTTATTGTATGTGTTCTTCTTTTCCCTTTCCACTTCACCCACCTGATCGAGGTCATTGCTCTCAAAGCGGACAGTTGGATCCAAGATCAGCTCTGTCTTTCCTGTCTTGGGAAATGCGACGATATCCCCGTATCTTGTAGAGCCTTCACTATTGATGCAATATACCTCGTCAAAGCAGGTGAATTTCCTTTCCCTAAGAAACCTAATCAACTCGAATTTGACCCGGTGGTGACGATGTGTTATGAGGAGGGAGTTGTTGGGGCATTTTCCCAGCACATGGGCTGGTGTTTCAGACTCTCTGCCGCATTTACGGCAGAGGGACCCAACTTCTCTGACCTGTCTGCTGACACCTGGGACTCCACGCAGGGGTGTATAATTAATGTTTAGTTTTAGGGCATTCAACCATTCAGACCCAGAAAGTACTTGTTTTTCGTAGATGTATCTGTTCGCTTTCGGGGTCTCTTTAAAATGGCGAACACCAATACCCTGCCACCTACAGTTGGCCCATTCCTTAAATGCATTTTCTAGTAGTGACTGCTGTAGAGCTTTCACATTTCGATGCCCCTGATCAACCCCCAATCTTTCGGCACACTCAGCAACTTCTGCCAAATAATCGAAAGTAGATTGAAAAAGAGCATCTGGTACATTGGACAGTCGCTGAGCAATGGACCAATGTTGAAGATGAGCCTCCCATTGGCAGCGGATTAATTCCAATCCTCGGAAATCTCCTGGGGGTATACAACATCTCCATGGAAGTATTCGCAGGGAGTCCAATAATGGTCTTTACGCTCCTGCGAATCATAGTGTCCATGCCCTCCAGTATGGCAGGACCCAGATTTGTGAGGGGTGCAGTTTGGAGAGAGTAAGTAAGACCCGGAAACAGATATTGATTGACAATGTTGAGTTTCTGCTCAGCTTTAAGTAAGCAAGAGGTTACCAGCTTGTTTAGATTTTCATTCAATTTAGTCACCGAATCTTCGTTACATTGTAGCTCTCCCGAAAATGTACATCCTAAATACTTAATCGTATCTCCATTCTTCAATGTTTGGATGTACCCTCCATTCTCAAGGGAGAGCTCCGTAGTTTCCAGCTCTCCTTTATTTAGAATGATGCCCATGCTTTTTTGAGGATTTATAGCCAGATCAATTTCTTGAAATGTCCTCTGGATGCTGTCAATCACTCTTTCTGCAGCCCCCTTGTCTCGCGCCAACACAGCCTGGTCATCCGCGAAATCTGTGAGGACCACACAATCTTGGTTATTCCTTAATTTGTATCCAAATTTCTTGAAAAAGTCCTCATCGTACAGGTTGCGGTAGAGATGGTTAATTAATAACATAACTATAGATGGTTAGTTAATAACTAATTAATAACATAAATTTTATAATTAAATAAAATAACTTGGCTATTTCTTGGCTCCTAGGGGCTGCTGGAATGAATGTCGGGTTGTGTCCAATATTTTTCGATGTATTATCACAGAAAAAAAATTGTTTGAAATTGATGACCTACTCACTGTAAATTCTCCTTGTTAGTGAGAAGTAAACTATTTTATTTACACTTTTAATTTATAAAAGTTTATTTGTCAAGTCTTTACATTAATTAGCAGACAAACTTAATTTGTATATGAAATCATTTTCTTCATTGGTGTCTAGACAATTCGTTAGCATGTCTACTCTAATAATTTATCTATATGAGAGAGTTCATTACTATATAGATGATTTGAATGAGAGTAAATTATAATTGTAAAAGTCCTAATACACTCTTTTTTCAGGGTTCACGGCTCTTTGTGAGAAATATGCTACTTTAGGCCATTCTGGAGCTTATCATTTAACTGTTACATTAAACAATTATATTGGAAAGATGGTTAGTTTAATTTATTCCCATGGTGGAGATCTTATAAAGTTTGCAGGTGAATTAAAACATAGAAAAACATGTTCAAGCGTGTTTAACAAATAATGAATATATTTATCTATTGCCAGGTGATGCATTTTTGGCCGTGTGGGAATTTAACTATTCTGAGGAAATATTTTTTGGCATGCATAATATTCTCAGATGTGCCATGGAAATTCAAAATTCTTTGGGTCATTATCAAACAGATGTAGGAGTTCTCTTGAGAGGTACCCTTTTTATTTTTTTTATTTAGTTTTAACAATTTATTTGTAATATGGTCGTGAATAAATATTTTTAATCTGTTTGTTTTTTTTTAAATAATTTAATTTATAAACTTGTTTTTTAGTAAGTACATATATTTATTTTTTGCCAATAAATTAGTAACTCATTTTTTTATTACAAATGTATATGTATTAAATTAAAATGTGGGATGTATTAATGGTAATTTATCATTTTAATTTATTTAATTAATAGTAAGTAACTAATGATAAAGTAAATATATCTTTTATGAATTTTACCAGTATCACTTCAGTAACTATTTTGTGAAATATATGCTCATAAAATCAGAATAACATAACAAAGATCTTACTAATATTTCAAAAATAAATACAAATTTTATTTTATTTTTTGTTAATCTCTCTCTCTCTCTCTCTCTATATATATATATATATATATATATATATATATATATATATATAAAAAGGGGGCTGGGGTAGCCGTGCGGGCTAAGGCACTTACAATAGGTAATCAAAGTTAAGCAACGTTGAGCATGGTTAGTATTTGGATGGGTGACCGCCCGATTTGGGTGACCTTCCACTAGGGAAAAACCATGCTGCCCGAGTGTCTCTCCCCCCCAAGTATGTGAGAACCGTCAGGCTACTGGAGGCAACTCACACCGACAGGGCATAGGACTGATGACCCTACCCCATCTACTTAATTGGGAATCGGAATGTTGTCTACCAGGATGTTAGTAACCCCACCTGAGGTTCGGTCCATGGACAGTCTGTTTCGGGGAAAGAAATATAGGTCCTTGTGCGCCTGCTGATTTCGAGCAGTCATAATCCATGGATCTGGACCGATTTGTCACTGTCCTTGAACCCGAGTGAGTCGGTGGGAAGGACACTGCCAGATTGGCCACAAAGGGATCGGCTATGGAGCTAAGGTTGGCCGCCGCTGCACCATGGTTACCATGGTAGCAATGTATAGTTGGGTGACCCTCTGCAGGCTATCTGAGCTCCCTCAAACAACATACGTCTGTAAGGAGACAACATCTCTAGGCCAAAGATCTTCATGGTTTGTAGTGCCAACCGAAAAAGAAAAAAAAATATAGATATATATTTTTGTTTTTTAACATGCATGACATGGACTATTGTCCGTCCATCGGGTTGTCGCTTTTCATGTTTAATTATAGTAATTATTATCCTTTTTTTTCCAAGTTACAAATACATTGCATAATAATTGTAATTATACAAAAAAAATTGAGAATACACATCACTCAACGATAATACCAACTACTACTTAATGACAATAACAAACAACAACAAATCTATTATTAAGATTTTGTATTTAACTATTCATACTTGATACATTGTTTAAAATTACAGCCAAGAAATAAATAAAAAATAAGTAATATATAAAGTGATGAATTCCATATTTATCTATCGAGATCCATGGTTCAATTAAAATTAAATTGTTCGACTAAGTATAAGGCTTGTACTGTATATTTGTAAAGTGAGAACCAATTTTTACCTTTAAGGATATCTATCATTTCCTCTCATGAGATGGTGGTTTTTGAAAATGACTTTTTTTTTTTTCTTCCCTACCTCGCCTTTTAGGCTATACGGGATTTTCCCGGGCCGGGGGGTGAGGGTGGGGAAATTTAAAATCCTGTGTAAGCGGTGCTGTTACACACGCTTTAGCCTATTCGGCCACCCCGCCCCCAAGAAAATGACAGGTGTCTTCCGGAGTATTCATATTATATGGAGAGCACTTGTAAATTCTATGGCATCTCCAGCATTAACAGTTCAAACCCAAAAGTTCCCCCCTTGCTAAGAAAATTATTTTAACAAAACCTGGGCTTGCATCATTTGTTAAATAATGATTAGATAGATCATGGTGTAGCTAGGCATAACCGGGATGAAATTTCGCTCTTCTTGCACTTAGCAAATCATACTTATTATAATTTTCATTTATTTTATTACACAGCTCTTGAATGGTCTGCCTATCCAATGTAGGTGTATTTGTAGTCAAATTAATCCCTAAAACTCGCTCTAAGTTTATTAGCTCTTTGTACCAATATATATTTTTTTCTATTATTATTTTTGCTGTAAAGTTGATGTATCTCTCTGGGCCATGAAGATTCAACACTGAATTTATATACCTCAGATGCAATGAAAGCAGTGCAGTAATGTATATAGGTGTAGCCGTTAAAAAACCTGTCTCAATGTAGAGCATATAATTAAGGGTACCAAGCGGTAAATTAAATAATTTTTGAATGAAGTACCTATTGAACTTCTCTACCTCCTCCACATATGCAAAGCTCCAAACTTGGGCCACATAGCTTACAATTGAATTGACAGCAGCATTATAAATGGACACTTTCTTATCTAGAGGTATTTCTTTTTTCATGATGATTCCACCCCATGTACAGTTCAATGCTTTATGGGGTCAATGAACAGTATATGGGGTAGAATCATAATGAAAAAATAAATACCTCTAGATAAGAAAGTATCCATTTATAATGCTACTATCAATTCAATTTTAAGCTTTGCAATTGATGTCTTCTTGCTCCTATGCCTCTTCAGGGAAAATGAGGATACGAGAGTGACATCTAAATATTTATACTGGGACACAATTTCTATTTTTCTTTGTGAAAAAAACACTTTTCAGATTTTTTTAGCTTGCCCTGGTGCTTTTTACAGACCATCACTTTTGATTGCCCATATTCACTTTTAGGTCCCATTTATTGCAATAAGTCTCCAGACTATTGATAATTTTTTGTAGAGTTACCATTAAATAGAGTTACCATGACCATCATGAGGCAAGTAATACAATGCCATCAGCGTACATTATTAGCTTGACAGGTTTACCCTGAACACTAATACCGCCATCCGATTCTTCTTCAAGATCATTAATGTACAGGGTGAAAAGTGTTGGGCTTAGTAAGCATCCCTGCTTTACCCCATTTTGGTTTTGGAAACTTTATGTTATTCTATTAGCAGTCCAAACCACAGTTTCAGTTTTATTGTTCAGGCATCTTATTATATTAAGTATTTTGGTCAGTAAATGTAATATTGATAGTTTATAAAAAGGACTATTACTATTTATTTTGTCAAAAGCTGATTCGAAATCCACGAAAAACAAGTAAACTTTTTGATTAGAATAAAATTGTATATTTATTATATTGTATAAAGTAAAAATATTATCTACTGTGCTGTAGCCGGGATGGAAGCTTGGCATTCATTAATTATATCATTGGTTAATGTCCATAGGGTAAGCATATTAAGGATTAAGCCGGAATAAATTTTTGTAATGGTGTCGATCAATGAGATGCCCCTGTAGTTCTTTACATTGTTGATCTCTCCTTTTTTATAAATTGGCATAATTATAGATTTAGTGAAATTATCTAGGATTTTATGCCCGTTCCAAAATTGAAAATTGAAAATTACAATCAAAAACCTTAAAATCTCTTCAGGTATATTTTTCCAAAATTCAAATGAGATCTGGTCCAGGCCTGGGACTTTCTTATTTCTCAATTTTTCCCAAATTTGTGAAAGTTCCTCTAAAGCAAAGTCCGTGTCTAGGTTCTCATATTTTATTTGAAAAGGCAAATAATTGAAATAGTTAACCCATTGACTTGCGGACTACATACGATTTTTTAATTATTTCTTAGATAGCTTATATTTTACCAAAAAAGGATTTTGAATCTTTTGATCTCTGAATTTTTTTACAATATTTTCATAATACTGCTGCTTTTTAAACTGATATAAATTTTTGTAATCTCTAAATACCATATTTTCAATGTTTCTGATGTGTTTTTTCTTTGTAAATTTAAAAACTTGAATGATTTTTGTCTTAATTTCCAGCATTCTCTGTTGATCAACTTCTCTTCTTTTTCCTCCCCTCTCTTTACTACCACCCTATCTGATTTCCTAACCACTTGATAAATTCCGAATATAATTTTGTCATCTCCCGGTACATTGTTTACATCTTTGAATGTAAAAAGATACTTTATTTCCAAAATCATCTTTATTTTCCTACTAATTACTAATTCAGCCTTGGTAGTAAGGGCTAATACATATCTTCATCTTAAGTTAAAGAACATTTTAGGCATATCTTCAGTGGCAAGTGATCCGAATAAATTTCAGGGAGGATTTGAAAGTCACTAATAAGGTCAATCTCGTCGACAGGATACCTTCCCAATATATAGGTAATTTCTCCATTTTCATCTCCTTTTGTTCGACCATTCGTAATAATAAGTTCCCGTTCATCAAATAGTTCTATTAATCTTTCTCCACGTTTACTATTTTTTTTTTGTCTTTACACGGTCTATAGTCCTGAAGCAAAAATTGCAATGCTGGCAGCCTCTTCTTCTGATGGGTGATATCGTAGACAGAGGTAAACTCCTCCTTCGTCTACATTGAAAGCATAATTACAAAGAAAAATGGCTTAGCGAAAGCTGCAAAAAGCCATATAAAGTCTTCTGATTTTTCCGACTATTGTAGAAAAAAGTTGTGATTCACCAGCTGTGGATTGAAGAATGGCAATTAATCTTCCTAATATTCAAAGCATTAAAAGCTAAAAACACACCTCTATTGACAGATTGTCCAGTATGAGTAAATATTATTATTTTTTATACAAAAATGGTTCAGTGCTCTGTTTGTGATGGTGCTTTCACTAGGGAAGACAGATTTAATTAATTGAACTAAAACCTTTCTTCCTAAAGGTTCTTTTGTTGCCAACTCTAATTTGCCAGTCTTCTGAAATTCCCGGGCCATTTGATATCATTATGTCTCTTCATTGTCTTCATTAAATTACATTTTTTACAAATTCCTTCTCACATCCCAAACAGATGCTCTACAATCATAGAATAAATTTTATGAATCAAATTTTGATTCAAGCTAATGGTTGTTTTTATTGGATGAGTTTTAATTTTAAGAATCAACACACAATGTTTCTAAGGTTTTGGGCTGAAGCCCCCCCAAAAAATGGAAAAATATAACCATGTTTTATGGGAAAAAAAATTTAAAAATACCTCTTAAAGTATTATTGTTTGTGTAATTACATTTAAAAGGACTTAAGGAATCACTTAAACACCATTTCATATAGGTAGTTAGTTTCTTTCTGTTTTTCCGAAGTAATTATCATTATTTTTATGAATAAAAAAGGTAGACAGAAGCCTCTCTAAAAACACAAAAATACGACTCTTCTATATAGATGTGAAATTAGTTCTGCTTTATGGCATCAAAATCTGAAAACTCACAGAAATCATAACACCTCCAATACAGGTATTCATTTACCGATGCCTGAATAGGATACTGGAAATTTGGTGGCCAGAATTCATATCAAATAAAGGACTATGGAAAGCCACCAACCAGCTACCAATCCACTTGGAAATAGAGAAGCGAAAATGGAAATGGGTAGGGCATACACTGTGGAAATAATATAAGACTATAGAAAAAACAGCCCTACAATGGAACCCTAAGGGAAAAAGAATGAATGGCAGGCCAAAAGATACTGCTGGCCAAAAGATGTTGCAAGTCCGCAGAGAAGGAATTACGGTGGGTTGGTAAATCATGGAATGAGGTATGTAGGATTGCTGCAGATTAAAACAAACGGAAAGCACTTGTGGCTGCTCTATGCTCCAGTGGGAGTCAACATAATTTATTAATTTAATAATTAATAATTTGATAATTTGATTATTATCAAAAATAAAAAATATTCCGAGTGTGAAGGTGATGAAAGTTTTACTGTCCAACACATGCTTGGCTATGATGTATGCACCATATCAATACAGAAGCCTAGTTGAACATTTTTGGTGTCAGTGGGAACTTTCTCTTCAGCATTGATCTATTTCTTAAAAATTAACCCATATGACTGATGCCCTGTCTCAGGTAATTTGAGGATGAAGTGTGGTGATCTTTATCATTGCCTGAAACCCTTCTTATTTTCTGCCTCTTTACCATTGTATTATCATATCCTATTACCATCATTGCTAATTGTTATGAGTGAGCAATAGACTATAAAAACACCAATTCAATTTGTACATTATCATGTTTCAGCATTATCTTACAATATACCATCTTATCTAATTAATAATAAATTTACAATTCTCTATCACAAATGCTGAAGGATGGTTAGGTGGTCACACTAAGAAAAAATATTAATAAATGACTAGCCAAACATATCTTATCTGGTTTTGGTAATTACAGAATGATCCAATCAATGACAATACATTAGATATTAACATTTATTAAGCTACAAAAATGCAGTTTGAAAATACAATATTTCTTTAATTGCCATTGGGTTATTTATATTTTCAGGTTAAAAGTACAACTTAATTAATCACTCTGTTTTTGCTTGGCAGGCATTATGTTTGCTTTCTTGGTGATTTCTCACATGGGAATTTTATATATTTGAGCCAAAACGAGAAAGCTTAGTGTATTTCTTATTTTTATAAATAATTTGTAATTGTTTTTGCTTTTATACAGTGAAGCTATCAATATCATTGGGATCATTTCTCTTTGCTACAATTGGATCGAAACAGAATGCCAACTATATACTTTATGGTTTGCCTATCTTAGAAGTAAAAGCAGGTGAAAAACTTTGCTCATCTGGTGACACTGTTTTGTCTCCAGCAGCATGGTCTCTATTGAACCCAATGAACTATGTTTATGAAGTTGTTAAATCAGATTATGTAAAGGTATGTCACTGTATATTTTCCTCTATTATAAAAAAGGTATTATTCCCTTAAACTAATTTCAAATATACCAGTTTGATTATAAAAAACAATAAATAATTAACTCTCAGCATTCATTATTAGGCTATCATAAGAATGAATCCTTGTCTTTTGATTTCATAATTAGTCCTATTCATGAATTCAAGATTGTATATAAAGTACAGCAGTACAAAATTGGCCAAAAATGAGATAAAATTATCAAGTTATAAACAGGCTGTCTACGCTTTAAAGTCAGTCTTAGAATTTCTCTCATACAGTCAACAGTTTAATAGTGTTTCACCTGCTACGAAATTCTTCCCACAGTAGTATGTTAATATTTCTGTAAATATTTCTCTGTAATACAGCATTGATATTCTCACCAGGCCACATTATATAACTAGTTGTTATATCCTGTCACTTATCCTCCACCTTTCTCCTTCTATTCTTCTTCCATAACCCTATTACTAATGCCCTGAATTCCTGTCACGCTCAATCCCTTATGGCTCACCATGATGAATTTCAAAAATATTTCCTTGACAATTTTTATCACATAAGAACATAACTGTATCAAAACCTGGCTCAAATCTTATATTCCTTCACCCCACATTTCCCTCTCCAATTATTCTTTTCTACGTTATGACAGATCTTATTAAACGGGAGATGGTGTCGGATTATTTATCTATGAAAGTCTCAAGGCCGAAATCCTCCTGCAGCCTCCCTCATGATTTTCCACCCATAGAATACATGGTCATTGAAATTTCTTCTATTTCCTCTCCTCCATTATGTGCTGTAGTTTACTGCCCACCTAATGTTCCATTCGATAACCTCTTTGAATCCTCCCTGGTCAACCTGGTTTCCACTTATGCCAATATCATCATCACCGGTGATTTTAATATAGATATGCTTTCAGAATCTCCCCAGAAATACTTTCTTACTGGCCTGTTGTTTTCCCTTAATCCTTATATTTTTTCTTATTCTTCTACCCATCTCACACACACAATTTTCCGGTAACTTGGTAAAGGTCTACTTTTACATCACTGATTCTCCCATCAAAATTCTACCATCTTCTCAACATTCCATTTCATTTCTTTCATCGCCTGACCTGATCCAAATTTGCTATGACTTACCCATTAAATCCAAATATTGTTACCTCCTCAACATTTATATTGAGTGGGGAGGGGACGATCTCACCCCTCCGTAGTTTTGTGTCTACGACTATATGGTCCAATTCCATAAACAAAATTTAGGTTTTAAGTTTTTGTTTTTTTAAGGGTTAATTTGTTTGTTGAATAGGAGGTGATCACTAAGAAGTATTTAGTTTGTGTAATTAACAATTGCAGCATAGTAAACTAGACAAAATTTCCTTTAAACCAAGTAAGGTTTGTCTTTGTTAAGGACATTTTAAGAGGGATTTAAATCAGCTGAATTGTGGCATGTATTGTTACTAACATCATGGATTGTTCATGATTTTTTTTTTATTAGTTTCATTCTGGATTACAGGATTTCTTTTTCTGGAAAAACTTCCTTATTTAATAAGTTTCAAGTTCATTTTAGGTAGTACTTGTCATAGAATAAGCTGATATTAGCCTATATTTTTGTAAACCAATTTCCCCACAATCATTAGTATTTTTTTTATACTATACTCAGTAGTAAAAGAAAATGGAAAGTGATGCAAAAGTATATATTTAACAGATTTGATGGGCGGGCTAAACATGGTAAAGAATTGTTTTTAACAAAATTATACCATCGTTTTCACTTTGACTTCCCTATGTATGAAAATACCTATCTAAGTGTACCATTGGTAAGTGAAAGTTGTGTGATGTGTGCACCACACTAGATTTTTTCTGTGGGGGATCACACCATACTCTGAACATTTTTTTTGACCTTGAGTTCTACTATCACCTCTTTAAAATATTCCCCATTACTTCAAACATACAGTTAGAATATTTAATACTATTTAGAGTGACACGTTTCATTTTTGTATACTATTGCTTCTTACTGATGTTTAATATGGAAGATATTTGAATTATGTTGTATTTGGTTATTTAAATACCCATTTTAAGCTACTTGAAAATTATTCTGTTTAGTATACTTGTAAGTTATCTCAGTATACCAGGATACTAGGGTTCATTCTCATCCCCACCAATTACTTGAAGAATCTATTTTCTCATAATTTTAATCAGAGTGAGAATGTGAAAATTCATTCCATAAGTCCACCACAAAATAAATTTCAACCCGCTCAGGCCAGATTTGAATCGGTGTTGCTAGACACAAGAATTCTAATATAGACAATGCTCTAACACCCTCAGCCATCATGACCTCTACTCCGATTCTAGTTAGTATGCGATAACGATCTCTAGATAGCTATAAAGGGTTAGAAAAAACAACTATAAGGCCATCTTTGCGTATTAATTTCTCCCAACAATACCAGTAATCGATCTGCTAAGCTTATGGAGATTCACAGTCTCTTCCAAACTGTTCTAACAGCTAAATTAATTTTGGACCTAATATATAGTGGTAAAATGTGAAAGAAAAAAAGGCAACACTTGTTATGTGATTTGATGCTAAATTCTGTCCCCTACCAGCAGACTACTCCATGGTCAACTCATCCAATAGCTTGTGCCTCAAATGTTCTAAGGGACAAACACTCCAGAGTTTTTATCGTGGTAAAAGATCCTTTTGAGGCTCTTGGGTAGAACTGCAGTTACAAAAGTTTTGTTTATGGCTTTTTAAAGCCTAAATTAGTTATTTCATAATAAATAAATTATTTTAAAGTATTTAAAACAATAAATCATTGTTAAGAGCTTTATATAATAAATCATTATACTAATGATGGGTAAACAGCTAGTATCATCTTACCTTACCTAGATTCTGGATGTGTTTTGTCTGAATTAATTTATGATAAAAATAAAAATATTTAATGGCTATTAAATTAATGTATGCTTAAATATCTATACTAATTCCTCAATTTAATGATTATCAGGTGAGAAAGATATTATATGACCCTATGAAGCTTCGACTACCTGCAAAACCAACAAAAAGTAAGAATTTTTCTTTTTCTTACAAAATTTTATAATCAGTATTTTATTTTGTATTAGTACAGTAATACTTTAACATTTATGAGGGTTGAGTTCCTGAAAATCATGTAAATCTAATATGCATGAATGATCAGTCTATCTTTCTGAGTTAATAGGGAGTTACATTTTATGTTAGCAATCAATGACAAACATACATTATTGACTTAAACATATTCTTTTTATCATTTTTCATTACAATATATAATTTAATGATAAATATTTAGCTGGTTAATAATATTGAAAATTTTATATAAATTATTACTAGGAAGGCTAAATTGACTGAAATAAGCATATTTTTAATAAGTAATATTTTTACAGAGATTTTTTGTTGAATTTAGATTTCCATAATTATTGATTTATTTAATTAAATCAACTTAGTGTCAACTATGATGTTTAGGGTTTAGCCTCTACTACTTAGCCGCTGACTAAGCGAAGCGAAGCGAGGGTTATGTGTTTGGGTCGTCCGCTAAAAGCTATGTAACACTTTTTTGAGCAAACGCCTGGAACGATTTTTAAGTTTGATGGCTAAAATTATTTTGTGAGATTCCATGAGTGCTTTGAAACCATTTGAGCTAAAAATACTAAACCGTAATTAAATAAAATGTGTTTAATCAATTTGCAAAAAGCTTTGTAACACTGTTTTGAGCAAACGACTGGATCGATTTTTAAGTTTCATGGCTCCAGTTATTTCCTGAGATCCTCCGAACGTTTTGAAATCATTTATGTGAGCTAAAAATACTGAACCATGATTTAATAAAATGTGTTTAATCGATTTGCTAAAAGATTTGAAACAATTTTTCGAATGGCTGCATAGTTTTTTGAGTTAGATATATGACATTAGTCGGGGAGGCTCCCTGAGTGTTTAGAAAGCGAAATGACACAAGGGTCATGTGTTCAGGGTGTCCTCTAAAAGATTTTTTATTTGGGTTTTGTACAACTTAAAGAGTCATATCCCCAACACCCAAAAGCCACTGCTCCCTGTCCATCCAATCTCCTTCACGGAGCCCTCTGGCTGCCATACTTTCCTCCACGTCCTCTATCCATTTCTTCTTTGGCTCTTCCACGCTTCCTTTTTTCAGGTGCCATATAGGTATACCTCTAAAAGATATGTAATGCTATTTAGAGCGAACAGCCTGATTGATTTTTAAGTTTGATGAGTAAAATTATTCAGTGAGACCCCCTGAGTGTTTTGAAACAACGGGTGGCTACCACACACTGAAAAAAATTCAAGACTCTGTATCAAAAACTGTATTTGACAAAAATTTTATATTGACTTCTTATGGGTCAATCCATATTTAGTGGCCCAATAGTGGTCATTTAACCATTTTTTATTTTTAAAATATTTTATATGTTGATTCTTCCATGTCTTGAGAGACAAAAAGAGCCAGCAATTTTTTCTTCTATGGTAATATACAAATGGTAGCTATATTTCTATGGTTGTTTCTATGGGCCAATTTCAATATGAGCATTTGTGGTTCCATTGATAATTAAAAAATTAAAGAACTTAAAAAGATTAAATAAACATTGCTTTCTACGTAATGTTTTATGTTAAAAAACTTTCTATTTGTATGTTTAATTTATTTCTACTCACAGTATGATAAAAATTGACCTGAGTTTAAGCCTCAAAATACAAAAATCCATTTTCAAACCATTTTTTATATCAGGAGTACTATTTTACTACACCTTTCACTGCACCTTACTTTTGTGTAGTGGTTAGGAGCCTAATAGTGAGTCAAATAGTGGGTAGTGGAGGTATCGTCTGTGTACAGTGTATTTTGAAATATATGACTACCAAACACGGCAAGTCAAAATCAAAGTGTCTCTGAGGTCTAGTTTATAAACATGTATTTATCATATCTGCTAAATGCATCTTTCATTTTTTCATAATTGAAGCTTTGATATTTCCGATGGAATGAGTTAAAAAACTGTAATTCATTTTAAAAAGTCTGAAGTTATGGTGGGTTTGGGGAGGTTTATTGTAAATAAAAGCCTTACTTGTTTATTTTCTTTGTTAAAGTTGGGTGACTGAAAATAAGGAAAAAACAAGATGAGGAATCGTAATTCGAGAGATTACTTACATGGAAAAAAATTGTGTAAATTTGAACTGCTACAGAATCCAAATGATAGAGAATGTATATAAGTTTGAGATTGTATTTTTTAAATAATAAAAACAGGTTCATGTTTTGCTAAAAATACTGAACGGTATAAGCCAGGCCCTAATAGTTGATGACACAGCTGTGTCTCCACTCTTGTGGCGTAGCTCCATCCTATAAACTATACTATAAACCTCTCAAAAAATACTTCTGTGAATTTCACATTTTTTCAAATCCAGTCCAATCGCAGATATTGAAGCTTCAATTTTGAAAATATAATAATTCAGATAACAATAATATAATTTTATGGTAATAATTATACCATCTTTGACATGACAAAAAATTAATATCTTATATCATAATTTTTTAAGTATATTTTCTGCTTGTGAAACCAAAAAATTATTCCATGATCCAATCAAATTACTATTTCTTATTGTGTTTTTGCCCATTTTCGAACAGTCACCAAACTTCAACCAAGCAAATAAACAAGTAAGGCTTTAATTTAGCTCCTTATTTACCTTTTCAACAAATCCTATAACTATTGTGAATTTCAGGTTTTTAACTCCTGTCTCATCGGAGATATTAAAGCTTCAATTTAAAAAAAAATCTCGAACTTTAAGGAGTCATAAAAAAACAAGGATACATTTAGTCAAAATGTATTTATTTCGATTGACCTAACCACCAAACAACAGGTAAGTGGGTAATATTACTCTTTCTCATTTAAAAAATGGTTTGAAAATGGATTTTTAAAATTTTATTTTAATGCTTAGCTTCAATCAGTTTGTATTAATTAAAAGTAGGAATAAATTAAATATGCTACCAATATTTTTTTCGCCTTAACATTACGTTCAATATGGTGTTTGTTTGATCTTTTTAGGTCATCTAGTTTTTGAATAAGTTACGAGACCACAAATGCTTACATTTACTAAAATTGGTCCACCAACCATTGAACTAAAGAAAAATGGCCGTCATTTGTAAACAGACAGCCAAGAAAACATATATATCTGTCTTTTTTTTTCTCTAGAAACATCTAGGAATCAACATAAAAATTATTTAAAAATGGTTGAGTGACCAATTTAAGTTATTTTTGACCATTGGTTATGGATTGATCCTTATATAGTTCCTTTTTATTTACATTAATTTTACTCCAAAAATAAATGATAGGCCAATTTTTAGAATTTTTTATGATAAATTTAAGATTTTTCATAAAAAATTCTAAAAATTGACCTATCATTTATTGTATTGTATAAGGAGGATAGCACACATCCTCCTTCGATCCCACATGTTTCTCTCACGGATTCATCGTCTTGGGTCGTTCCACACTGTCTCACTTTCCATTTATTATTCTCTATTGAACAGTGTATATAACCATGGCTTTAGTGGCCCTATCTTTCCTCTTTCTTATCTTTTGATTATCTTCTCATTATTGTTTTTTACAGATGTCTACTTTCAATAAAAATCTCCGATACTCTTTGCTTTCTCACCAATAACTTTAATAGCTGTTTCTTCTATGACCATCTTGAGTCTGCTCCGATCTCTCTCTATCTTTTCAATGTTTTCTGCTATTGACCAATATGAAAATGGTGGCTGGAATATACATCAAAACAAGGAGCTTTACCCATTGTGGAATATGCTAACCTAAACCGACTTTGCTGGGCGTGGAATTTAAAAAGAATGGGGGAAGATCATATACCGATTAGGATTGCTTTATTTAATTATTTAAGTCCCCAGAAAAGTCTTGGGCAAATGATTTTCTTTTTCATCAAGTCATTTATTCAGTAATTGTCAGCCACTGATCAAATAGCCATATTTTCTGAGCTGTGCATTTAGATCACCTAATATAATCTTAATGTTATACCTCAGGGCAGCTTCTATGACTTTATCTACCTGTTTGTTAAATAACTACTTTAATTATCACCAGCTTTCTCAGCAGATGCTTAGACAGAAGGCACAATAATTTTTCTAAATCTTCCTCTGCAACAGAATTTATGTATTCTTTTATTAGTGACAGAGAGTCTGAAACACCAGCCCATGTGCTGGGAAAATGCCCCAACAGCTCCCTCCTCCTAACACGCCCGAACCATAGGGTCAAGTTTTAGGTGATGAGGGTCCTTAAAGAAAAAGAATCCACCTGCATTGACAAGGTCTACTGCATCGACAGTGAAAGCTCTACAAGATATGCAGATATTGTTATGTTTTCCAAGACAGGAGGGATGCGATGATCTTGAATCCAACTGTCCATTTTGAGAGCAATGACCTTGATCAAGCTGGCGAAGTGGAAGAACATAAATGGCAAATGTATTCCTTTCCTTAAAGAGAAATTCTGCTAGACCTTCGGAGAGAGAAAGTTCACCATTAGAGGCCTCTGGTTTGGATCTCGTGGAACAATTCCAAAAAGAACATGGAGGAACTAGGTGTTGATGTTGGGGAGCTTGCGATATTGGCCGAGAATATTATTCTTGACTCCCTGGAGATCATCCACTATCATTTATATAGTAATTGAGGATGTCTTTTATTAATTATTTATTCAATTTTAAATTGTTTAATCATCATTTTATCTTTTTATCTATATTCGTGGAATTACTTTGGTACATATGTGTACGATTTATGTTAATAGTTATGCAATGTTAATAGTTTGATATGGAGTATTGTTGATACTTTATAGGACCAGTGTCATGAAAGAAAAAAAAAATATATAATATAATATATGTATATGTAGCTTAATATATGTGCTGGTGAACGGTGCTGAGACTGTCGGTGTGTCCCTGGCCTGAGGTATCGAAGCTGTATTTTAAAACTTTAAAGAGGATCCCATTGTTAACTTATAAAAAGAAAAACTGGGATCGAAACGTCAAATAAACACAGAAGCAATGAACATTTAGAAGTTTATTGAATAATTAATAAGTGACCTTATTCCCAATTAAATAATTATGTTAGGTTATATATAAGTATATATAAAAATAATAAATAAAAATAGGGGGCTTACAATAGGTAATCAAAGTTAAGCAATGTCGAGCGTGGTTAGTATTTGGATGGGTGACCGCCCTATTTGGGTGACCGTCCACCAGGGAAAAACTGTGCTACCCGAGTCTCTCTCCCCTCTCCCCCTCGGGTATGTGAGGCCCATCAATCTACTGGAGGCAACTCACACCAACCGGCTGTAGGTCTGATGACCCTACCCCATCTACTTAATCGGGAATCGGAATGTGGTCTGCCAGGATGTTAGTAGCCCCACCTGAGGTTCGCTCCATGGACAGTCTGTTTCGGGGAAAGAAATATAGGTCCTCGTGTGCCTGCTGACTCCGAGCAGTCATAATCCATGGATCTGGACCGATTTGTCACTGTCCTTGAACCCCCGAGTGAGTCCTTGAAATGACCCGAGTGAGTCGGTGGGAAGGACACTGCCAGATTGGCCCCAAAGGGATCGGCTATGGAGCTATGGGTGGCCTGCCGCTGCACCATGGAGACCATGATTCCATGATTTTCCAACTTACTGTAAATATCTCTATCTACTAGCTTTGGTTGGTCTACTGTTTATTAATCCAACCTTAACTCTTGTAGAACTATTGCATCAAAATTATATTTTAAAACTTGTTCAACCATCTTACCAGGCTGCAACATTTTCTTTACCTCCATGTTGAGAAAAACCAGTCCAAGTTCCTTTTTCATTTGCCTGGCAGACCAGGTTTTTTAAATTCTATTTAGGGTATATTAGGTAATATTTAAACAATTATTAGGATTTATCTCCCTTAGCCTGGTTGCTTTACACTGCTAGGGATCTAGGATATCTCTGTTTTATTTTGGAATTTCTTCTCTTAGCCTTTGGGATTTCCTCCCATAACTTACAAGGCAGCATTTAAATGGTAGGTTGGTCATTCCGTAACCATGACAAGAATGTGATGTACTTCACTCCCATCATTTGCATCTAAAATAATTTTTACAGAATATGAGGTATAACTCATACAGTTAATCTGACTTCAAATATTCATTTCTTTAATTTTGGTGAGTTTCATAAAATTGATAAAATTCAAGTTTGAAACAGGATATGGATAAGTATTGTATGTTCTGAATTCAAGAGGACATTAAAAGTTTTTTTTTTTTTACTTCAATATTCTTAGCTATCAACTCTCAAATATTATACTAATATATCTCAGTCTCAATGTAACCAGAATAATTATCAAATCCCTACTTTTAAGAAGAGAATAAACACTTTTTATCTTATTCAGATATGTTTTTAGTAATAGTAAGTACTGTCAAGTGATTAAGTGATCTAATGTCAAGTTGAAAAATTTTACTATTAATTAATTGGTATTCATAAAATTCAGGTAAAAATTAAATAACCTTAAATCAAAACATTCGTACTGACATGGTTTCACATTGAGACTAATGATATGTTTGTTTCTAAAATACACTTTTTCATTTTTATATATTTATATCCTGAATGTATAATAAATTATTTTTAAAAGCTATTTCTTAAAGGCCTGATTTATTTTCAGGAAATAGGATTCCTTTACTTTTAAATCCTTGGAAACTCAAAGAAAGATACATTGAGATTCTTAAGGAAGAAATGGATAATCGTGGAACTAGTAAGTATTTTATTAATTTATTAATTATAAAAATAAACAATTTAGCACATCTTCTTTATGTTGTCTCTAATTGAGCCAAAAAATCAACTACCCAACCAGCAAAAATGTGTATAAAAGATGGCTAACAGATGTCTTGACCAAGACTTGGGATGTCTAAAAGATATACTGAAAGACATCAAAAGGATGGCTTATGCGCAGATTTTATCCTTCTTTAAGACATTTCAAAAAGGGTATGAAAAAGAAATCCACAAGGCATCAAAGGCTATTTGTGATATGTCTGAAAGGTATCTTTTTTATCCTGAATAGGTCATCTGCAAGACATCATTTTGATATCTCCAAAAAGATCTTTAAAAAAAATTATTGTTTTACAAAGAAAAATAAATAAATATGTCTTTGTTGAAAAATAATTTATTTATTTAAATACATATCAATGAATTAGAAAATATTAACTTAGAATATAGCCGCAACTATTATATTGCAAAAAGTTACTAAGTGCATTTTTGATACATGTTAACTTTCAAAAATGATTTTGTAAATATCGACTTTATTTATCTATGTAAAAACACCGTAAGTGCATAGAAATGGTACAAAAACCTTTATTTATCATATATATATATATATATATATATATATATATATATATATATATATATTGTAATGTCAACATTACATGGCATTTGAATAGTGGCGCAAAAGCGGTAACAGCACGAACTATGGGGAAGAAGTGGGGGAAGCAAGCCTCATGTAACTCAGAAGGTGACGGGCCGCCAGGAGAGAAGGTGATAGCGGCCAAGAGAGAAGGTTATGAGCCGCCAAGAGAATGTGACAAGCTGTCAAGAGGGAAGGTGACGAGCTGCCAAGTGAGAAGGTGCCAGCCAGCAAGTTGAGAAAATAGAAAAAGGAGTCCTAGCCGGTTCGAGTGTTGATAGAGGCCACTAGTGAAGATTGTTTTATGTTGGAAAAAAACAACATAGCAGAAAACAATTAAGTGGTACAGAAAACGGGACATTCGTAAGTAAGAAGAGATTATTTCGCTGGCAGGCATAAACATTTGGGTGAGTGCTAACAATGCCATTTATGTTGACAGAGGGATAGAACCAAAAGTTTAGACGGGGACAAATTATTTTATAAAACTATTTTAAATTATATATTAGTGTAGATTATAGTTATTTAATGTGTTCAGTTCAGTGTGTTCAGTTGTCAGAACCCAACCTGAGATTTATGTTATATGTGTAAAATAAATAGTATATTGAAAAAGGAAACTCGTTGTTTGATTTATGTTGGTTTTTGAGAACGTTACAACATGGCGTCCAACTAGCGTGGCTTTTGAAAACGTACATAGTCACGACAACTGAACACGCAATCCTTGTTAATTTTATTTTTATTTCTTTTATTAATAATTTTTGAGTAATATGGAGAATAAGCAGAGAGAGATAATAGAAGTTAGAGATCTTAATAATGTAATTCTTGGAAAATCTAATGGGAATGTTGTTATTGTAGAAAATGAGGCAGAATCAGTTGTACAAAGCCTACTTGATGAAAATAGACAGTGTGAAAGTCGGTCGGGATTAAATGAAATAAATGAGTTTAGTGAAAATAATATGGAGGGTGAAAAAATAGATATAAGTAGTAGCAACAATTTGAATTGTACGGATATTAATAATATGTTTCAACAAGTAATGACTATTCTTCGTAGTATTGAAAACAAGCAGGAGGCTTGGAAGCGAGATTTGGAAAGTTAAATTCAAGAAACTAAATTAAGAACCCAAATTATTGCAAATATAACTGAAGCCCAAGAAACTACACTGGCTGAAAAAACTTCTAATAATGAACAGGAAATTTTGAACAAGATTGTGATAACCCAGAAACCCAAATTATTGCAAATATAACTGGAGTTCAAGAAACTAAACTGGCTGAGAAAACTACTTTTGGTCACTCAGAAAGTGATCAGAAGCAAACTGTTACTGAAGAGCTTAGCAAAATTAATTCTTCAATTGATATTGGATCAGAAAATCTCTTAAGAAAAGATGAAGAAACCCTTGAAGAAAAATTAGTGACAACAGAATTTCTAGTAGAAACTCATACAGTTAATCTTATAGATATCAAAAAAGAACTTCTCAAGTTTCAAATTGATTACAAAGGAGTAAAATCCAGCAGAGAAAATCATGGTAATTATTTTAATTCAGAAGTTCCTTTAATTCCAGAAAAGTTAACTCTACGATTTAAAGATGAATTAGGAAAGTTTGATGACTGGAGTAAGAAAAGAACAGGATTATATGAAGTGTCATTCCATGGACTCACTAAGTATAATTTTGATTGTAATGGATTACCAGTCGTCCTACTTATTCTAGAATATGAGTTTTATGGAGGTTATATGATCCTGGATCATGTTAGAGCAGGCCGGTTAAGATCTTATTTTAAGACACGGTAGTCTTTATCCTATCCAGAGGATAAAAAAGGGTTTTAAATTAGCGTCCCTTCCGTTGACGAGCTAGAGGGTCCTGGCGAAACCATCGTTAGGTTACTCAATCTGGATAACTTGTAAATATATTGTAAATAGTCTAATTAAATTGTTGGTAGATAGGATAATAGATTAATATCTAAAAGTTTAATAAGTTGTTTTGGCTGGATATTGCTAGGTAAAATCCAAATTTTAGAAGAAAGTTAAAAAATTGTCTTAATTAATTAGTGTCTTCTCTCTGATTATTCCTATAATACAATTTAAAATATATTTTTGAATGTTATATAAGTAATTTAAACAGTTATTTTGTAAGTTAATTATACATAAGATATAGGAATTATAAGGTAAATTTATTTTGGTAAATAATGTATTCAGCTTATTTTATTATTTGTATATCAATCTACTTTTCCTGTACATAAATTAGATGAACAAGTTATGTAATTACTGTATGTAGATTAAGGTAATATAGTGTAAATAATTCAATATTTTGTATATAAAATTTTAAATGTTTGCTAACAAGGTTGGGAGATCTATTGTGAAAAAAAAAAATGTAAATATTTCACCGAATTTTAAATTTCCATTTTTTTTTTTTTTTTTTTAAACTGGAACGGAGGAGAAAGGTAATGTCAACATTACATGGTATTTGAATAGTGGCGCAAAAGCGGTAACAGCACGAACTACAGGGAGGAAGTGGGGGAAGCAAGCCTAATGTAACTCAGAAGGTGACGAGCGGCCAGAAGAGAGAAGGTGATAGCGGCCAAGAGAGAAGGTTATGAGCCGCCAAGAGAAAAGGTGACAAGCTGTCAAGAGGGAAGGTGACGAGCTGCAGTGAAGGTGCCAGCCAGCAAGTGAGAAAATAGAAAAAGGAGTCCTAGCCGGTTCGAGTGTTGATAGAGGCCACTAGTGAAGATTATTTTATGTTGGAAGAAAACAACATAGCAGAAAATAATTAAGTGGTACAGAAAACGGGACATTCGTAAGTAAGAAGAGATTATTTCGCTGGCAGGCGTAAACATTTGGGTGAGTGCTAACAATGCCATTTATGTTGACAGAGGGATAGAACCAAAAGTTTAGACCGGGACAAATTATTTTATAAAATATTTTAAATTATAAATAAGTGTAGTTAGTAATTAGTAAATTAGTGTACATTATAGTTATTAAATGTTGAATGAGTGTTCAGTTGTCAGAACCCAACCTGAGAATTGATGTTATGTGTTAAAATAAATAATATATTGAAAAAGGAAACTCGTTTGATTTATGTTGACAAAGGTAACGTCACAACATGGCGCCCAACTAGTGTGGCTTTTGAGAACGTTACAATATATATAGTTACACTGAGTGCACAATTTTCTGATTTCATTAAGTGAAAATTCATCAAGGCTCCTAATTATTTGAGGTTTTAAAATGTCACTTAATGACTTTTTGCAATAAACCGACAATATTATTTTATTTTATTTGACGTGCCTCTCGAATTTCCTACCTCCATTTTGTAACCACGGTTTTACTTCCATCATGTCTTCATCGTTGCTTTGTCCACATTATTGGAAACAGTATCTAAAATTATAAAATCCATAAATATATGATGTTGTTGATGATGAGGATAACAAATAAAGCATTACTTGTCAGTTCTTCATAATTTCTTCCCCCATTTTCTAATTGATCGCTGTGTAATAAACAATGAAAACCAAATTTATTCAAATTCTATCTGCAATTGTAAAAAATTATTCTTCATTTTGTGATGATGTCCTCACATATCGTGATTCACTTGTGACTTCTTTTATGTTACCTATTTTCAAACTTCTTTAATCCATACTCATAGAAAATATCTATTTTCTTTGTTTTTCATGTAAATGAGATGGATTCATCACAATTTTTATATGAAATCTGAGCCAATGTTATGCCAGCGTTATTGGATGAAGATGCATAAATGTCTTAAAAAACAAACTAGAAAAATATTAAATGTTGCTCAACAAACAACTGAGTACAATCAATGAAAAATATCTTAAAGGATGGAAATACATCAGCTGAACAAAATACAAATGTAAAACTGAAAAGTCATTTGTGCAATGTTGCATTTTGACATTAAAAAGGAAATTTTTGTGTACAATTGTGATTGTCAATTAAAAATAAATTTGGTGATGAAGAATTAAAAAAGAATGGTGTATTGCAAACTTCTGAAACCAAGAGAAGGAGAGAGAATCACTTTATTATTATAAAATGGTGCTGCCCAATAAGCCATAAGTCATAGTTGACTATTGTATTTCATAATGGTGTACAACAACACTCTTCAAAACTAGTGGAAGAATGAATAAAAGTTGAAGAATCTTGTCCAGAAAGTTTTAACCCACTAGCCGTATATACCAGATCTTGCTCTTTAGGGTTGCCACTTGTTTTGATCGACAGCACCTGCACTTTTGGAGTAGCATGTAGTAGATAGCCCCCAGTATTTACTCCTTCATGTGACATTGTGTGAGGGAATGAGAAGGAATATATAGGAATGTGACGTTACACGATGAATTGTACTCAATTATGCAGTGGACAAATTATTCATGGAAAAGTCTCATATCGATAAACAATCGATGAAGAAGGAAGCTGGAAAAAGGTCAGAGCAGGTAGCTAGCAACAGCTGGCAGAAGGACGCCGAGAGGGGCACTTGAGGCCTGGACACGAAGACGAGAAGACGTCATCTGGGAAGAGAGGCTTACTACATTGAAGACTAAGAATATCAAGCCTACAGTTATAAGACTTTTATACATCAATTTATTACAAATGCTATGGAAACAAAGTCATTTTATTTAGTTGTCTATATGCCTCACAACTGAATAATAACAAAGCAGGTGAGTCAATTCATTCAAAGTGTGTTTACTAAGTCCCACATTTCATATTTATATTCTTATTTTTTCTTCTCACTCAGTGTCACGAAAAGGTATTAGATTCCCAAATTCCCTATGACAGTTAAACACCCTCAAAAGTCTATATCCAGTGCTGGGGTTTTGTTTTAATAAACACGAGTGTAAATAATCTAGTTCCCCGATAAAAGCGGAAGGCTATTCGCCTATTCCCGTCAAAACTAATTATTTACATTTAACTTTCAACATGTTATTTACAAGCACTTCTTCAAAAAATCACTCCGAGTGGCTTATTGTAAAACAAAAAAAGTTTTTTTTGATCAATATTCATAAATCAGAGGTGCCTACAAGGGGATTGCGTGTGTGCATGAAAGTTGTGCCATCAGAATTTTTGAAGCGCCATATTTTTACAGAGTTTTGAGTTTTTTAGAGGAGCACATTTTTTGACACATAGTTTCAATTTGGAACAACCTTCAGACCAGGAGCCAACTGGAAAATATAAGAGATACCACAGCAAGTGTAATTATATATGATGAACAATTATTTAAACTCTACTTTCGCTTTCAAGAAGAGAAGAGCAAAACATTTTCTTGGGATGGAGGTAGAGGGGGTTCATGCACCATCGACTTTGGGGGACTCCTTTCACAAATTACCTGAAATTTGAAGAAAACTTGTTGCTACTACTTTTTATTACCGGACTACTTTTAAAAAATTACTTCTAATGCTCCGTCTGAAATTCTTCTTCTTTTTTTTTTTTTATTATATATTCCACATTAATACAATAAATATATAGTTTTGTCTGTAACCTAATATATTGTAATATAATTAAAAAATCATTGTGGTTACAGTGAGGCCTAATATTTTGAATTCGGAGCTAAAAGAACATGCAGATGTTCTGAGGCGCTTTGTTATAACTCCAGTAGTGCATCAGGTATCGATCATAGAAAACCATGGAATAATATAATATAATCATAATTTTATTGATACTAATATTTTAAATAAAATGAAAGTACATAATTAAGCCATAATAGTTAGTGGAAAACAGTCACATGATTCTAAAATAAATTCATCAATAAACAGTGTTAACAATACAATATATAAAGTGGATTTATCAACCATTTTTATCTGCAGAAAGGAATTTGAGTTATTTTAATATGTGTAGGTGAATGTAACTTTTCCCCTTTTATCAATTTATTGTTAACAAGTATGCATACCTAAGGTGTTATAGTGCAAAGAAAAAAGGTTTGGTATGATATTTGTCTAATATTTAAGTCTAGTGTTTAAAAAAAATTAAAAATTGATTATGACAAAGTTGTTAAAATAGAAACAGAATTATCAGTTTAAAAATTTTCTTTCTATATTTTTCCCTTTACATACAATATTTTTCTGCCACCTACATTCATTTAGGAAACATTTAAAATTTTTTCAAAAAGTTTTTACAGGATTTTTAAAATGAAATGTAAGTAATTAAGGGGATGATAGTCTATCAAAAATATATTTCAACGCCACCATATGGGCATTCATGTTTTAATCCATTTCCAAAGTATGATATTTTAAAAGTTTTTCTAAAAAAGCCATGTTTTTCTCCATAAAAATCCAAATTTCTCTAATTTAACTGAACATTTCGTTTAATAAACGTGAAGTTTCTATACTAAAATTCCGGTTTCATATTTACACACCTGGTATACTTAAAATAAATTAATATTATATGTTTTATTTATTTTACGTGTATATTATAATAAATAATGATATTGTAATAAGTTTTATTAATTTGTATTAATCTTTTAAGAAATACACATGATAAAAGTTTATTGATATTCAAATGGCAAGCTTTTCATTTCTGAATTTCAGATTCAAAAAGGTTGTTCTGTAGAATATTTGATTGAAATGAGACAAGTGACTATATTGTTCCTTAACATTGTGCCCAAAGATTTAACTGTTACAAAAATGACTCTGCTAGCGAATGAGGTTCACAGAACCGTTACAAAGTAATTGAAGCTGGTATATTATCATAATTTAAAATAAAATTATTTTTACTTGTAGATAAATAAAAACTATCATATTAGATTAAAATTATTTGTATTTGAATTTATTATTTTAAAATTATTTATCTGCAAGATTAGGGCTCACTGGTTTGGTTATTGTGATGGATTTCAGGTCTATTAAGTGATATAAATCCAATTCATTAATATTTATGATTTTAAATCAAATATACATGATTTCTCTACACTGGTGAATTGCTGCTGTTAATGCTCTGATAGATGTTCCACTTAGATATGGTCAACCATGATATCAATGCCATCCTGTGTGAATATGAGGGTTATAAGTTGCCAGTTGATTCATCCTAGGGTACACACTAAGTGCTGCTGAGGAGTGAACAATGCTGTCCAGAAGCCTGGAGAGAACCAATTGGCTCGTCGGTGCTAACTGACTTGGTTGGCCGAAGTCAGAGAAAAGACAGAGTTGCCTGACTGAAAACTGAAGGAAAATAGGTATGAGAATTTAGTTGGAACTAGAGCAGTGCCTTTTGAGGGTCTTAATTTATTTTTTTCCTACCCCATCATTTTAAAAGCTGGATTTACATTTTTTTATGTGGCTTTCATGTGGAATTTGATAATGAGAAAGAAAGTCAGCAGTTTATTTGATTTTAAAACTATTTTCAATTTTTTCAGGTGCATTAAATAAATTAAACTTTAAACTAATTTTTCATTAGTTTATAACAACAAAAATGAAGCAAAATACGACCTTAGTCTGCTCTGTTGCTCATGTTTTTTTTTAATCGTTATGTGATAATATTGGAGAAAAACTTGGATATGTATGCAAAAAGAAAGTATAAATGTACGAGAAAAAAACTGGACACCCTGTTGATATGGTTAGTTGTGTTGGAAATATAAGTGCTTGTAATAGCATTATTCCGTTGTATTCATTAAACAGACTGGATTGCCCGTCCACCATGGACTTGGTATAATGTAGGATTGATAAATCCTAGTCAAACATAATGCTGACCAGTATAGTCTGCTGTGGACCGAAATGGCTAAAGAGACAGTAAAATTAATAGATATATATATTAGAGTATTTTTTATCTCATGTTTATCACCCTGAATACAAAGATGAGAAGAAAATAACAACATTGAGAGATATTGTTATTGGGATACATTGATAGAAAGTCTTCATAATGGTTCTCCTCGACTTATCACCATGCTGCCTAACAACCCTAGTCCACTTTTATTTTGACCAAGCCTTAAGAAAGTTTAAAATTTTATTTTAGTTGCATATTATTTGAAGCTATAAACATTATTTAAGACATTGGAATCATTGTTATTTATTTACCCTCTTTGCAGGATAATTGAAAGAAAGCTCGGATTGATAAATAAAATATGTTTGTTTGATAAAGATATGATGCTTTTAATATTATTTGGACTAAAAGGTTACAAAGGAAAAGATGAAGCTTTGAGAACACTCCAGTGTGGTGCTACCATAATTGATCTTGTATCAAAATTCTTAAATGTCAAATCAGTATCTGTTGGTGTCACTGTTGGTATGCAACTATATCTTTAATATTAATCCAGTTAATTTAGTTCTGATTACTACGTATAGAAAGACCTGAAGATTGGATATGGAGATCATGATTGGATTGGGATTCTCTTTTTTGCAACAATACCTCCTTGTCCTAAGGTGTATACTTTGAGTCTACTTATAAATGTTATAGTCTGTGGTACAGACTCCTTTTTTATCAAATCTTTAACATCCGCCTGAAACATTGTAAATAGCTTCATCTCAGTGTAACCTACAACTATTTCATTTACATAAACTCTTGGAATTGGGACTTTTCAATGTGGTGGTCGGCAAACCTTGTCTCTTTAATTAGGTACTAAGAACTCGTAAATATCCATTTGCTCTCCACTTGCATCATAAGAAAATTTGAGCACAAAGTCGAAAAAAGGTGGCCTTCAAAAATATTGAGCTGGTTGGTCTGACCTACACACCCAAATGGTCAAAATAACGAGGTTATATAGACTAAACGGTCCAATATTTTTGTAGGCCATCTTTTTTAACAATTTTGTGATCAAATTATCTTACGATCTAAGCGGAAAGCAAATGGATATTTACGAGTTTTTAGTACCTAATTAAATAGACAAGGTTTGCCGACCTCCAGATTGAAATTGCCCCAATTCCAAGAGTTTTCGTAAATAAAATATTCGTAGATTACGATGAGATGAAGCTATTTACCAAGTTTCAGGTGGATTTTAATATATAAAGGGGTCTGTACCACGGACTATTACAATAAAATGCAGAAATTGATTTTAGAATTATAGCTCTTTAAGTTTAACACAGACTAAATAGGTGCACAGACCATAGCACCGCCGCACAGTGGAACAAAAGCATCTTTTTGGGGACAAAATTCGGTAAAAGACAAACACTATGAGATTGGCAACAGTTGATGATTGATTTTTACAGCTCTGTTTATGCTGAATCGATCGATACATGACACGTGTTCGTACAACATATTCTTCATGATAGTCTAAAGACTCAACTAAAATATTTAAAAAAATAAAATTCTTAATTTTTCATTCAAGTCAAAAAAACTTATTGTTAAATATTGTTTGTGTATTTATGTTAAGTTTTTAAATGTATTCTATGAAACTATTCATAATCTTCCACAAAAGATTCATTAAAAATATAAATAACATTTGTTATATGTTTTTTAAATAATTGTAAAACTCGACATCTTTTTTGGATGTTACATATGTATATTTTCTTTGCAGGTATAAAATAAGGACTAAAAGGTATTATATATAAGGTATATATATAATATACGTAAAAGTAAATATAATGTAAAATGATAAGGACAATTTTTTTAAAAATATGTGTCTATTGACAAATCGACTTAAAATTCATGAAGGTAATGCTTCCTTATTTGACCAACATTTTCTGAACGCTAGACTTCCTATGATAAATCATGTGAGTGGTGTTAATAGTCCGTCCTGCTATCCATTTCCATCATTCAAATTAAATTAAATTAAATTAAATTAAATTTTAATGCTCTCTAAAAATCAACTATCCAGTATTTAGAATGAATATGTTGTTTTCTTTACTTATTACTTTGTGCTAACATTTCCTTAATTTTTTTTTTTTTTGGTACTTCCACTCCGAAATTTGAAATATAATTTTTCGTTGACATATTCTAAATAAAATTAGTTCAACCAGTACTTATAAACGAGGTTTATTTCTGAAATATGAATCTCATTTAAATTTATATTGAAATGTTAAAGAAAACAGTCACTCAATGATTTTAAATTATTAACGCTAATTATTTCTGCTGTAAATTTCACCACACTTTCAAAACTTAGTTTTTTTGATAAGTAAGTTTTCACTGAATAATTTTACCTTATTTTAATATGTACACTATCACAATTTAGTTAACAAAAACAACATTTAAGAATTGGTTCAATTAAATTTTAATTTCTCATACTTATGTCCATACCAGAATTAAAACTAAAGATTCTTAAAAAGAAAAGGTCCTAACGACTGAACCAATCAAACTCAATTCACACACGGAGATAATATAAATAGATTTCTATTGGTTTTACATCGATTAATGGCTGTGAATAAATACTAAAATTGTTTTATCAGAGTTTTCTTAGCAATTAAGTTAGAAAAAAAATTTTAAAAATGTGTTAGAAGGGCGGTCGCAGGTGGTCGTGGCTAAATTGTCTCTGAACATGTTAACTACTATCCCAGTGACAGTATAAGACTGAAGTGGACGGTGTTATAACCCCCCTCTCTCCTGTGTGCAGTCCTATGACCATAGATGTTAACTTTCACTTAATGAAGAATGGTAGCGGTTTTATATTTTATACTCAAATACAATCAATACATGATTGCAATTGATAGTTGAATTAACAGTTCATGAATAGTGTGAAATAGTGTAATTTATCTCATTGCAAAGAATGTTAGTCATTTAAGCAATTTTACACATATACAAATAGTATCAATTAATACTTATAAATAGTTTGGTTTTTAATGAGAAGGGTGATGGTAATCAGGGTACATGGTTAAATACTTATTAGGAATTTTATAATTTCAGGAACTACTTACTGCGGAGTGGTGGGTCATCCACAAAGAAGAGAATATACTGTTATAGGAGGTGCAGTAAACAGAGCTGCTCGTCTGATGGTCGCCTTCAAAAATGTTGTTTCCTGTGATCTGTCTGTTGTCTTTAATTCGAGATTACCAATAGGATATTTTCAAAAAACTAAACCAGTTTATTTGAAAGGTATAGGAATTGTTGGTAACATCTTCATTTACCTGGGACCAGGGTAAGAATATATTAAAATACTACAGATGTCTGTAAAGTACAAACAAAAAATATTTATTTTATATTATTTTCAAAGCTTTGACGATTACAAATTTATAAATTGTCTATTATTTATAAATCTGCTAGATATTCATAAATTTTCATAACGTCGTTCTGATGACATGTTGGAAGTGAAGGTTGTTTTCTGTGACCTACCTTTCATCTTTAATTTGAGGTTACGCCAAAGGTCCCAAACATTTTTTTGTAGGACACTAGGACCACTTCATTGTACTCATCATTATTAACCATTAATGTGAAAATCAGCTGGATGTTCATAAATTCTCATAACATCATTCTGACGACATGTTGAGGGTGGAGATAAAGCCTAACGCCTAATTTCAAGAATTTCCAAAGATAAAATATTTGTAGGTTTTGACAAAATGAAGCCATTCATGAAGATCTAGGCGAATATTAGTAATTTCATGAAAAGGGGCGTCTACCACGGACTATAACACAGTGAATCCTGAAATATCTTCTTCTGTTATTGACTAAAATTCTACGGATCTTCAGCGATATAATATAATTTGAAAACCATTTGGTAATGTTTATTAATGTATAGCAGTGTCCTTGAGTACCTATTTGACCAGGTGTGCAAGACTGGGCGAAAATTTGGATAATTTTATAATAATTTATTTTATTGACTGGAACTACGGATACCTAAATTATGACCTTCTTCTTTATCTTCTTCTATAAATTATCCTTTCTGTTATCAACAAATATCATTTTATGCCCAGATAAAACACCCTTATTGTGTAGTCTCGTACAGTTTTTTCATCATATCTGATGCAAGAGATCTTTCCCCCACTCGGGGCAAGGACTGGAATCATTTTATTTATTTCTATCAAACTGCATTTACCAAGTAGCAATTCAGTGAATATACTCATTTATATGTCAAATAGTCACCAGAGTTCAATGACACAAGATGGCACAAGAATAATCTGCGTAAGGGTGTAATGAATTTTTATATGAATCTTTCTCCTTGGTAATACACTATTTTTCTTGCTTCTGGTTCTTAAAATAGAAAGATTTAATTTTTATAACAATTTTTTTTTTTTAGTTTTGTCTATTAATATTTTGACTGGAGCACTAATTATGTACAAATAAGCTCAAATTTTAAATTCTACAAAACACACATTTTTAACAATAATCATTTTCTGTATTTTAATAATTTAATATAATTGTTCAAAATAAAACTTCAGTATAATATTTAATGTCACTGTTTGTGTTAATTATTTTTTTTAGTGGAAATATTATTAAGTCACCCCTTCTTGGAAGATACAATATTGTATGTAAATTTGTTGATATGATGGCAAAAACAATTCCTTATCAGTGTTTAATTTTGAGAGGGGATCCTAGAATAGGTAAATCACGTATTTTACAAGAATTTATGGATATTTCTGAGCAATGGGGATGGAATTCTTTAATGATCGCTGTTAACCAAATGAACACTACTGATATCTGTTTGGTGAATAAACTTATTTCATCTGTGAGTAAATTTTATTGTTTCTAAAATTATATTTTATTTATTTATTAGAAATTATTCGTCCTATTTACTGCAGACTATGGATGTTTTATGTAGCTCTCATCATCTTTTTGACCTTAATTCCTATTTGGTAAGATTCACCCTTAGATCTCTTGATTTTTCTTTTGTTTAAATTGTTTGAAAGAATTCTGAATGGTTTTTTTGTCTCTACCATGAGTCTGACAATATTTAATCTTATAAATTGAAGCAGCATTTTCTCCTTTTTCGAATTTCCAAAGCATAACATGGAGTAAGTGATTTTTGTTGAGATCCATTTTAATTGAAATTTCAGCTCAGAATAATTAATTTTCTCCAACAAAAACATAATAAATAGAAGAGTGTGTAATGCTATAATAAATAGATTATGAATACACAATTCAATAGTAAAGGAGGGATTAGTAATATCAACATAAATAGACAGATTTTTAAAAACCGACATTACTTATTGAATGACCTAAAAGTAGCTGTAATTAACAAAGTTATATATATATATATATATATATATATATATATATATATTTTTTTTTTTTTTTCTGTTGGCATTACAGATCATATTGATCATGCCGCCTTAACAAGCCTGCTCCGTCTCTGCCTGTCTTGGGCTATTTCTTTCCATTTATCTGCACGCAGCTCTATTGCATCTTTGTTAATTCTATCCATCCATCTGCTTTTTGGCCTTCCACATGGTCTTTTACCTTCTATTGAGGCATTCATTGTTATGTAGAGGCTTCCAGATGGATTGCTACGAGCTACATGCCCCGCCTATCTTAACATCAGTGACTTCATATCATGGGATATTGATTGACCAGTTTTTGTAAGCTGTTCTTTATTGTTCTATCTTCTCCATGTGTTAATACTCTGATTCCAAAGTTTTATATTTAAATAATATATCTACTATATATCCAAGTCTAAATTATTACATTATGTTATCATACAAAAATAACAATTTAATGTTTGATAGTAGTTTATAGGTAAGACTATTAAGGATAGAATGAGAGTCTTACTAAATGCAGCTTCAGAAGACGAGCTTGACCATCTTCACTTGCTAAATAAACTTTTTGATGTGAAATTCTCAGTTCCTCATGACTATGATAAGATATTGCATTGTGAAGATGAACAGGAGTTATATAAAAGAATGCTAAGGAAGGTAAGTTAGCATATAATATTTAGTGACTTTAATTTTTGTTGATCTCTGTTGCAAAATCATTCTGCTCATTATTTCATCACAATTTTGTATATTAATGTATATTTTTATGCTAAAAAGGTTTTTTTTTTTAATCAATATATATGTCATGTAAAAATTTATTAGGTGAGTGCCTGCTTCAGAAAATTGTTAAGAAACATTTTTTGTAGGCAATAAAAATTTAAAAATCAAAACATTCGGCTTAGGTTCCTGAAAAATTTAATAACTAAATAGCATTGCATTTAGAAAATAATCTATTTGTCAAGATTATTTAACATTGGTTGATAACTATTTTAATCTCTGATTGATTGTTAGAATACCTTTGTGTAAGAAAAGAATGTGTGGAGTGGAAGAGATTTGTTGCCAATTCTTTAATAATTATTCATAATTAGGTGGGTGCCCCATATCTGCCTTACGACAGGCCATCTATTTTACAAATTATACAACTGTTCGTTTAATTATACTACTCGTTGCTAAAATTGTATAACTATTATTTACATTACATTCTGTTGCTCAGATTGTATTATTTTTTCAATATAGTTTAAGAAGGAAAAAAAAAAAAAAATTCAAGTCTATTTACTTTTTTATATAATAGAGAGAAAATCACAGCATTTTAATTTGTTGAAATTAGAAAATAAATTATGGCAGTCACTAAAACCTTTTTTTTTTAATAGAGAGCAGAATTGGGCAGTATTTGGTGAAAATTTTCATCGTGAGTACGAATTCAGTATTCAGTTTCATTCGAATACTGTCATCATGTAATGTCAGACGAGTACGAATTCTACTCTGTACTCGGTATTCATGAATACGTCAGTACTCTTTCAAAGTTATCATGATTAATTTCAGCATCTGTACTCTTGACTGTGATGATCGCAATCTCAGATACTTAAAAAAAAAATTAAATATAATAGTAGAATTAAACTCATTTAAATTTGTATCACAATTAGATAAACTCAAGAGTTAAATATATAGGTTAGAATTCTCATTATTTTTTACAAGTTTGTGCAGTGCATCCTCGGTTTCGGTTATGAGCAGAACACACTTAGTGTTTATCCCTGAAATAATCTTAAAATATGATGATATAATTTATTTGTTTTGAATTGTCTGAAAAATTATTAATACGTTCATGGAGGAGGGTGTGGGGGTAGTTTTTGCAAACTTTTGATTTTGAGAATCCACACTCTCTTATTTATCGATCTATTTAAACTTTTTTTAAATTTATACCTCAGGTAACATGATGGACCTCCATGACCGAGGAAATCTAATTTTTTTAATATTTTGCTCTTCTCAAATGAATTCCTCAAAAAACTGAATCTATTTAAATCGGAAATATAGAAAGTAATTGGAAAACTGATAACTTTTTATACTTGTAAAACATCATCTGCTATAGTTGTATTTGTCTCTGTAGTATTTAGTTTTAATTTTTTTTTTAAAACTAATGTTTAGTTGACTGTGAGAAAAATATATACAATTTGAGAAAGTATTCATAATTGTATTTGAAAATATAATCAAATACTTCTATTGTTTAATCTAATGTAATAAAATATAAGTAGTAATTGGTATTCGTTAGCACATGCGAGTACATACAACAGATGTAATCAGTATTTGTTAGCATTTCCAGTACAATTGTAATTGGTATTCATGAATACTTTTGTCAAGAAGTATTCTGTATCTGTAATTGACAGACATTACAATATGCCCAACTCTGATAGAGAGATAAGATATTTTTAATGCTTAAATATATTGTTGAAAATTTTATTAAAGCCAAATTTTGTTCAATTTGTTTAGAAATAAATCATTTTCATATTTTGTTATAGCTTTTTATTCATTCTGTGATTGTGATTGATGATGCGGAAGATTTGGATTCTGAATCATGGAAAGCTCTTTGCATGTTAATCCGAATTCCTGAAATCATTGTGGTGTTTGCTATACCAACCTCTTATGAATTACAAGATAGCTATGCAAAACAGCTTATTTCTGATCCTTTATCATTAACAATGAACATTGAATGCCTTCCTGTAAAGTTTATAGGACCACTAATATGTCAGATGTTATCAGCTGATGCAGTGCCATACAAGCTAATAAGGTATTTATGAAGTTAATAGCAAATGTTGGATTGAGCTCCTATTGACTTAGTGGTTTTTTGTTTCTCAAAATATAGCAATTACTGGTCCATTAGCCAGACGGGACGGACTGCTATCTGCCAATGTTTATAACCTGAACACTGATAATACAGTGATAAGCCTTCTATTAATTCCTATCTTCGTATTTATATTTATTGTATTATATTCGTATTATTGAAATTGTAAACAGAAACAAAAACAAATATAATAAAATACTTTTCATTTGATGACGCTGTTCTCACAATTTTATGTTTGCATGTATCTCAACGTTTTGGAAATATTCAATAGCCTGTTCTTCTGAAGACGGTAATTCCCAGAATGTTACAAGATTCATAATTTCACAAAAATAACACAAAGGGCCAAAGATAAAGAATTTAATAAGTGATTGTAATAAGTGAATAACTGAAAAATAATCACAATTGGACCAAAAATAAATAATTTAATAACTGAATGTAATAAGTCAATAACTGAAAAATAAACAATGTAATAACTGAAAGGTTCAGCGAGATAAGAAGAGGAAGATAATGTGACATTATGTTAGATAGATAACAACAACATAGATAACAAGTGAGATTTCGTCCAGCCTGGCTAATGTACCAGTACCGCAATTTGTTATTGGCAGTCACAGAGAGTGAATGCTAATAAGTATCCATTCTGAGATATCAGCTGCAGTGATAAACTTTTTTAGAGACTTTTTCTTTAACTAAGTTTATTCATTTACTTTTTTTATGTGGATTTCTTTTTTTTTTAATTGATTTTTGATGCTGCTTATGGTAGGGATCCTGATCTCTGTGAAATGAAAATATTTTTTTTTATTATCCTGGGACTGTTGTCCCTTTAGGACAAATTACAGATACAGAATAAATGCCTGTGTGGCCATACATATTATTAATTATTTACATTTATTATTAAGATTAAGATTTTGAAAAAATAATAAAACAAAAAATATAACTATTACACTAAAAACATTCTGGTATGTATAATACAAACTATATAATAAAATAAAATAGCATAAGTAAAGAAAATCATTTCTGGGGGAACTTTAAAAGTTCTCTTATCTACATTTCCTGATCAATCGGGTTGGGAAAGGAGTAGGTGGTTAAAAAGGAGAGATTTAAATGAGGAAACGGATTGTACATGTCAGATATCAGGAGGGATGGTATTTCAGAAGGAGACGGCTTGAATTATAAAGGATTTGTCAAACACTGCAGTTCGGTGGGGAGGTGGATAGAGGTCGGAGGTACGAGATCTAGTGAGACGGGATTGAATGGAATATTTGAATTGTAGGTTGTGAAAAATATAGGAAGGCCGCTGCGTTCTGATGACTTGGTATAGAAAAGTGGCAAGGAAGTACAAACGGCGGTTGGATGGATAGAGCCACTTCAACTTGGTGTAATACTGGGTTATATGCCTATCTCTTGAGATTCCGAAAACAAAACGTATTGCGCAGTTCATTAGGCGTTGAAGTTTGGCCTCGAATTCTCCCGAGTGTCCGCCGTACACCAGACAGCCATAGTTGAAGTGGGGGAACACAAGGGAGGAAACCAGGAGTTGATGGGATTTATATGAAAGGAGATAGCGGAGACGGTTAAACTGTTTCAGGGTAGAGATGGTACGACGGGAAATTTGGGAGATGTGTGGTTTCTAGGAGAGGGTTTGATCGAATGTAACACCAAGGTTTTTTACGGAAGTATGGAATGAGATAGGTGAGTTGTTCAGGAAAAGATTGGGGAGTATCTGTATAGATTTGAGGAGTGAGGGAGATCCAATCAGAATGGCTTTTGTCTTATTGGCATTTAGAGTAATCCTATTGTGATTTGCCCAGGCACATATTGCATTTATATCTTCCTGTAATTTTTGGATGGCGCCAGAGGTTTCAGTTGGATTGAAGGAGAGGTAAATCTGGACGTCGTCGGCATACAGATGGTATTGACAGTGAAGGATAGAGGATGAAAGGTCATTGATGTAGATGGAAAAAAGGGTGGGAGATAAAGAGGAGCCTTGTGGGACACCCCTGGACAAAGGTAAAGGTTCTGATGGGAGGTTATTGGGAACTACAACATACTGGGAGCGGTCGGAAAGGAAGGATTGGAACCAATTAAGGGTACTAGTTGAGAAGGAAATATTTTTAAGCTTGGTCAGGAGAATTTTGTGGTCTACTGAGTCAAAGGCTTTGGAGAAGTCAAGGAGAATAAGGATGGTGAGTTTCTGCTGGTCCATGGCTGTATGAAGGTCTTGGGAAATTTTGATGAGGGCAGACTGAGTGGAGTAGCCAGGCCGGAAACCGGACTGGCTGGGATTTAGAGTTGCTCTAATGGTTTAGAAAGATTTGAAAGGAGAAAATTGGACGGAAATCATTGAGAGTTGATGGGTTGGAAGTCTTTTTCATAGGGCGAACTAGTGCGGTTTTCCAGGATGTAGGAAAGGTAGCGTTTTGTAGTGAGTAATTGTAGATATGGTAGAGGATTGGAAGGATGGATGGTAGTGAGGCTTTGATCAGTCTGACTGGGATATTATCAGGTTCATAATCATTGGTTTGCGACTTTTGAATGGAGTTGAGGAGGTCATCAGGTGTGATATGGGAAAAAAAGAATTGATCAGGATTAAAATTTATAGGGAAACACACAGGAGTCGGCATAGCCACGGGAGATGAGGATGAGAAGGGACAGGAGACAAAGTGAGCGTTAAGGTCATCAGCAGAAAAGGAGATGAGCTGGGTTTGAGGTGTGTTGCAATTGGTCAGTTTTTTTAGGATAGCCTACTTGGCCTTGGAGTTTGGGGTGTTGGATAAGGAATGATGGAAGTAACGGGATTTGGCTCGGCGTATAACAGCCTGAGTGCTGTTTCGTAGTTGCTTGAAGGCGATATAGTCTTCCGAGAGTTGGGTACGTTTAAACCTTCGTCTTGCCGCATCTCTTCTTCTTATGCACTCTCTTAAAGCGGGTGTCAGCCAAGGAGCAGGGGAATGTCGGATGGTTTTAGTTAGGAGAGGAGCATGGCAGTCGAGGATGGTATGAAGATGGTTGGTAAGGATTTCTACCATGGTGTCCATGGATTTACAAGAATAAATGGGGTCCCACTGGGAAGCATCGAGATCCTGCGACAGGGCTTCATAGGTGAGGGAGTTGAGGTTTCGGAAGGATATGGTTTGAGGAGAAAAAACTGGGACTGGGATGTTGTAGGAAATCTGGATAAGATCGTGGGAAGACAGAAATGGAACCGGGTGCTGAGATGGCGACAAGAGTTTATCCAGGAAATCCAAGACAAACAAATCAAGCCAGGACTCTGAGAATTGGGTATGATGGGTAGGGTTGTAAGGTACTATATAAAGGCTGAGTGATTCGAGGAGGCCTGTCAGGTAGGAATGGTCAGAAGATGGTATCATTAAATTGGTATTGAAGTCTCCAATGATGATAATATTGGAGTAGGAAGAGATCAAATTGTAAAGGGAAGTCTCAAATGATTCATCAAACGGAATTCTTGGAGGACGATAAATAACTGCAAAGAGAAGGGGAGATGATGGGGTGAGGATTTCAGTAAAAAGATATTCCAGGTGCGGAGAATTGGTATGGGAAGAGCACTGTAGGATTTTGAATTTAAGGCTGTCATGGACAAAGAGGCCCACTCCACCACCTGTACGATCCTCTCTGTCATGACGAAGGAGGGTATAATTGGGTAAAGTAATTTGGGAAGACGAAATAGAGAGCTTTAACCAGGTTTCAGAAACTGCAATTAAATGGTAGAAGTTGTGGAGGAAAAAATCATAAAAGTCTTCAAAATGGGCTAGGTGTGGCTGAGCGTTGACGTGGCTGGTTAAAAGGATATTAGTCATGGGAGAAGGAGAGGTGGCTTGGTTAACAGATTGGAAATGCTAGAGGTAGGAATATTTCTATGTTGGTTGGAGCTAGTATGAGCCCAGAGTACATAATTGTTAATGACACCTTTATTGCGAAGAATCATGAGTGTCATAATAAATGATGCTAAACAAAAACAGAAAATAAATAATAGTAATTTTCAAGGTATTAATAATGTTGAAAAGTTGGAGATATACAATTCAGTAAACGAAAGATGTACCTCTACATCGGAATAAAACGTATTTAAGTATATTAAAATGTCTAAAAGTATGAAACATAGTCTGTTCTTATAAACGAAAATAAAATAATTATCATAATAAATTAGATCAAAAACAACTAAATTATTATCTTTAAAAAAAATTAAATAAACATCGAAATATGCAAAAACAGAAATGAAAAATAAAATGAGCAGAGCAATTGAACATGTGAGTGCAAGTCATGCGAATATGTCCAAGTCCGTTGGCGAGTTGATGCGCCCGCCGCCAAAAAAACTCACATAAATATTAATCCAGATGTTGTCTGGCAGTTCCTCTGTGTTTTTTATTTCTCCACTTAGCTGATGAGTCCCATAATCGTTCAATGTGTTGAGTATGGACTCCACTTGATGGATTAACAAAATTATACCTGTGATTCACCTGAAAATGATTGTAGTTTGCTTCATTGAGTTGTTTGGTGTTGTATACTTTCCAACATTCGGAATAAATGGTGCTTCCCTCTTCTACATTGTTTTTAATGGCTTTTAATAAAGTTGTTGCTTTTCTATCGTTTATTTTAATGATAAAACACCCGTCTATTTCTCGGCAAACTCCGCCAAACATCCATTGCTCAGGTAGGACTCTCCCCACATGATTTTTTCTTTTCGAAAAAAGACTCTCGTCTACTTCGACGACTTTGGCAGGCCCTCCAATTTTTTTATTCGACCTGTATAACATGTCATGAGCACAAACTTCTCTTAAAATTTTGTTCCATGCTACTACAGTTCCGATGGATAGTTTGAGCTGCTCTTTTCCCCACTGTATTGTAGTTAAATTATGGGACCACCCATAAATGGATTTTAAAGCCATTAAAAAAGAAATCCTCGACCCCTCTAACCACGTTCCTTTCCTTAT